AATCGGACCAGCCCCCCTCCCTCAGGCGGCAGCGGATGTGGTCGGGGTGAAATGAGGTTTTAAGTGAAATTGAATCTATATCTAGATGAAATACAGTTAAATTAAGTGCTCCCGAGTTGTCGCAGGGTGGCTGGAGTGAAATAATATAACAGACAATGGATGGGAAGAAATGATCACCACTGAAATGCATAAATAGCTAAAACTAGGAAATTCATTCCATGCATTTATTTCATTATTATATAACAACAACATTGGGTTTTCGTGTTAATTTATTCCTAAGCATCGCCTCAATAACAATTAAACAATCCTAGGCAACACTCGGTAAAGCCTAGTACTCAGGACGAATGTCCCACGCGGAATTTCATCGTGCTTAAATTATGTTAAATTTTTCGCTCAAGAGAAATTCGTAAGCGGGCAGAAAATACCACTATTCCACATACGTAGGTGTTTTATTATTGATTTTCAAAAGGTATGTTCCGCATTGTTTCTGGCCAGAATTTTGATGAAATAACAAACTTCGGATACATTTAGGATCCTGTGATTTTTTTCAGATCTTTAGGTTACCATTAACACTAGCAATCAATCATCAAACTTTACCTCGACGGAAAAAATGTCAGATTTGCAAATTAAATATCGTAGTGCAATTTAATTTTTAACCCTGGAGGGGTAATCGGTGTCGCAGATTTATGATCGTATGCTTAAAATTTACAATGAAAACTGCTAAACACAAAACACAAATTCAATTGGGTCAATAATTTCAAATGATGGCGAAAAGAGGTCTCGGACAAAAAGCCGCTAGGACGCCCAAAATCTGTTTCTCCCACAGAAAGGCTCCGGAAACTAGAGGAACCAATAATGAGAGATCCGCGATTGAAACTGTCCTATTTAGCAGATGAGATGGGTGTTCCAAAACTAACAATTTGTTCCATGTTAACTGAAGACTTCGGTATGAAAATGGCTTCCTCCCGTTGTGTACTAAAATTGCTTTCGGCATCTCAAAAACAGGATCGAATCGACTTTTGGAATGAAAGTTTTGCCCTTTCAAATGAAACCTGGAACCTGATTCATATTTTAATAGTTGGATATGATACTTGGGTTTACTATTATGACCCGGAGACCAAATAATAATTCATACAATGGAAGCACGGGGGGTCGCCCCAGCCCATGAAAGCAAAAGTGCAAAAACCTGCCAAAAAATTGATGATTCCCATTTTCAAGGATATCAAAGGTCCATTCCTTATAACATTTATTGGTAAAAATACTATGATAAATGGGGCAGCCTATGCAGGAATCCCGAAGGAGTTGTGTGCTCTGGTTGAAGAAAAACGTGGGGTCAGAAAAAAGAGTTGGTGCATTTTTAGCACGCCGAAGCCCCACCTCATACCTGGCATTTTGCGAGGGCTGCTGCAGACGGAAATCGCTTCACCTAGATAAACCACCTCCTGTACAGTCCAGACATGACCCCTGGTGATTATTATTCGTCTCGAAACTTAAAGAAAGACATCAGGGGGAAACGGTTTTCTGATGATAATAAAATCAAGTCGTAAATTTTGGCATATTTTCGAGGTAAATTTTGATGAGCTATTGCTAGTGATAATGTTAACCTATAGAACTGAAAAAAATCACAGCATCCTACATGTATTTGAAGTTTGTTATTTCATCAAAAGTTTGGTCAGAAACAGTGCGGAACACACCTTTTGAAAATCAATAATAAAACACCCACGTATATTTCGCTCAATTTTTACTCGTAGGTATTGTGCATTTGACTTATGTTGACCAGCCGCTCAAAAGCAGCCACACCATAACTTAGGGCGATATGGAACAAGTGCCGTATCCCACCTGGTCTTTGTTTACTAAATGAGTGAAAATGTAACGGCAAACAATACATGCATTACGGCGTTGTGAAAGTGGGAGTGATTTTTCTCACAAGGCGGTACAGATTTGAATTTAAAATTTGGTCATTAGAAAAGGGACGGGCAATACTCAGGTCGTTTGAGCTGAAAAACAGGTTTCACTTTGCCCCGTTTTAAATTAACAGCCTTGTCATTGAGTTGAAAAGTCCATAAATCACGTGATCGATTTTTGGACAAGTTTGACCCCCTCCCCCCCTTGGTGACCGGTGGTGATAATTTCGCTACCCCCCCCCCCCCCCCACAGGAGATGATGCTCAAATTAAATCATGTTGTCCGGAATAACAATATTTTTTAAATCATAATCAAATTAGAGCTACATTATACACATGTGTAAATAACTATTTAATACGCCAGTCGGACATAAGAATTTAAGTCGAAGCAAGTTTCTAAATATGCAAAATGAAAATCAAATTTATATAACTCTTGCGTGTGGTATTGCCAAGAGGGTTTATATATAACTCTCATGACATTTATTGGCATATACAAAAGTTTAAAAAAAACTTTACTCATGTCACGTGACACCTGACCATCTACCCCCTCCCCCCCCTGATAATTGGTGACAAATTTCAGACCCCCTCCCCCCCTGATAATTGGTGACAAATTTCAGACCCCCTCCCCCCCTCTAATCGATCACGTGATTTATGGACGCTCCCAAATGAGATTTTGAGGTTGCTCCGCCCTCTTATTTTGGACTCAGAGAGGCGCGAGTCACTTTCCGCTCACATTTCACGTGAAAGAATTGCCTCGATTTAACGGAAACTTTGACCTTACATTGAGCGAAAACTGCTCGCGCGGAAAATTCGGCACACGTTTCACGCGAAGAGCTGAGTACCACTCGGGCTTAAATTGAGCAGAATTTCTGCAAAAGTCGTTTTCCGCGCGTAAAGTCCATCGTGAGTACTAAGCTTAAGGAACGAAATGAATAGCACAAAATTTATTTTCTGTTTCTACAAATAATGAATATTATTATCACTTAAAGTTGGTGACAATTTATATTTATTTACATTTCATTCCCGCCAATGGATTAGCTAATTTACAAATTTATTATCTATAAACATTTGCACATATTTTGATAATTTTTGTGCATATTTACGTACATATCTACATATCTATTATTTCGCATAGAAATTAAGCTTATAAAATATTGTAGCAAAATTAGAACACCATTTAGTATATAAAGGAATTGTCAACCAAAATCTTATGGCTTTCAACATACAAACAAAATTTCAAACTTCTCAACTTTGCATACATATTTAGTAAAAATTCACAAATTGTTCATATAATATACCCATCACTTATTTATATAACTTTTTCCACTTTTCCAAAGTATGAACTCGACAATGACTAACAAATTCATAGAAAGTTAAGAATTTCTTTCCACAAAAGTAACAACCATGGCTCGCTGAATTGTGTCGAATTTTATGACTTGCCAAATTGTTTTTCGAGTGGGTCCTGTACTCACATTTGTCGCAGGAATGGATCCGCACTTTGTTCGTGGCATGCATCGCCAACACGTGACGCTTCAAAGACGATGAGTCTGAGAATCGCTTGCCACAAGATGCACAGATAATAAGGCACGGATAATTCCGCCGATTTTCATGCACATCTCGGATGTGGCGTTGTACACCATCACCACGTGCGAAAGTTTTCGGACAAAGGTGACACTGTGGCACGGCTCGGGCAGATTTACCGAAATGCGTCATCTGTTAAATCAAATTGCACGTGGGTGATGTGTCACCTTCCAAATTTTTGCCACAAAATGCTAACTTATCTACTTCCATACCTCGTGGCGTTTCATGATTTTCATCAGGGCGAAACTCCTCCCACAGGTGGCGCAAGTGAACGGCTTCTCCGTCGTGTGGGTGGCAATGTGGCTCTCAAGGATAGCTCGGGTTTTGAAGTCCTTTCCGCAAAGTGGGCACCAAAATCGGACCGGATTTTCGGCGTGTTCCTTATGCACGTGTTGCGCAACGTGATTCTTGCTTAGGTAGGTTTTGTCGCAGCCGGGGAACGTGCATGGTAAACGGGGTCGTTCCCTCGTGTCGTGGACGGTGTCAATATGCTTCCGTAAGTAGGCCGGACTGCAAAACACCCGGTCTCAAATGTCACAGCTTGGGCGCTTCCGGTTGCTGTGAATGTCCCACATGTGGGAAGATAAGGCTACGCTGTTTTTCGAAATTTTGCCGCATACCTAAGCAGACGGAAATATGGATTGTAAAATTTTTTAGTTTAATTTTTGCAAATTGGCACGCTCACCTCGCATTTGACGTTGGCATTGGAATCGTGCCGGCGGATGTGTTTAGTCAAATCGCTATTGGTTTTAAACGCTTTTGAGCACTTTGAACACTCCAGTTCCTTTCCAGACTTCATATTTATATTCATTGTTGTGGACTTGGTGCTTACTGAACGAAATTTAAGGTTATTGACATTCGGTTAAAGTAAATTAATTCTGCTCGTTTCCACGGAATAAGTTTGAGACCAAGTGCAGAATTTATTTATGGTGAGATAGTTGAGGATGAATTGTTACTTTGTTTAGGTGACTGCTCACATTTATTTTCTTCTTGTTTAAATGAACTTTCAGTTTTCTCTCATATTTATTCAATACCGAGGTTATTCTTGTGGAGGACGACCTGTGCATGATAAAAGTTGGGAGGCAAATGCAGATGAATCGTTTGCACTGAAGGGTAGCGTTCACTCCAAACCCATTCCTGCCACCAGTCACCCCTAAAATAGAACCGAAAGAGAAATATGGGCCTTGCATGGGTTAGGTACATATCTAGTTAGGCCGCTCTATTATATCTTTCCATGTAAAACGAAATATGTACGTTTGTATGCATGCATGCATCCATGCGCATGGGATGCGAAGTACGAGTATGGACACATCTTATTCGTAATGTTTTTTTAGACGTAAATTTCGAACGGCCCTTAATCTGTAAATTATTAAACATTGCTATACAGCGGGTGGATATTATTCCTCGGCTGAAAGGTCGCTGCGTAACATTTCAACTTCCCTTATTAATATTATTCAGAAAATTCATTTTTAGTCATGCAAGTTGTACATATACTGTAAAAACGGGTGAAGTTTGCAGCTCTGACGTCATTTCGCTCCTCCTAGCAGGGAGGTATTGAACAGTGTAGTGCTGGAGCCACCACCACCGCTCATGAAATCCCAATTGGCGTTCAAATTTTACATATTCTTTATTTATTATTCGAATCAGATGGTAAATGTTTATTTATCACCATTACGCACACGCTGATAGCTCATTTTTAGTAATTCAAATACTAGTTTATTTTGACAATTATTATTTAATTTTTACTTGATCATTTGATAACTGATATCATGTCAGACGAGAATCAACCCCCTTCAAAAAAAAGACACATTTCGACTGATAAATTGAACGTTAAGCATGCAATATCGGAAATTGGAATATTTATCAACAAAGTGAAGAATAAGTTAGAAGAATTCATTCAATCAAAAAATAAAATACTAAATTTAAGTTGTGGGGAAAACAGTTTTAATTCTCAAGATGAGCTACACGGTGACCACAACTCTGAGGATAATCAAATCGGACAGTTCTCAACATCAAGCGAATGTCAAACAGTTTTTAAAGAGCTAGGAATAAACAATGTTAATAAGAAAATCTCTAAATTGCTAGGTATATCAGAAAGATCAGTATATGGAATTAAAATCAACGATGCCAAATTAAATACTGAATCAGTAAAAAAACTCAGCTCAAAAAAAATAGTTTGCGAAGAATTTTTTATCTCTATGATAAGACGATTAAATCAGGAATTTTATAAAAATAAAGAATATCCTACGGCCAGAAAGTTACTTGATCGTTGCTTAGATAATCCCGAATTTCCAAGAATCAAACTAACGTTGTTTAGGGAGTGGATGATAAATGAATGCAAATTTAAGTACCGAAAAATCAATAAAAAACCTGTGTTCTTGGAACGCTACGACATCGTCGCCCAACGAGAATTCTACCTAAGAAGTATTCGCAAGTTTCGCCAAGAAGGATACTCAGTATTCTACTCTGATGAAACCTGGGCGTCACCTGATCAAGCGAGGAGTCGTTGCTGGCAGATTTTATTATCTGATGAAGAGTATAAAGACATGACGGGGTTTTGGGGTGGCGACTGTTTGCGGGATATGAACGGTTATGCTGGTAGGTCAAACTTAAAATATTGCTGATAAGAAAATTATTAGTAAATATCTATTTGCAAATTAAAATGAATTTCTCTTTACGGAAACAGGGGGATTTTTATTGAAGTCGGCAAACGGACGCATTATAATTAACCACATTGGCAACGAATTAGGATTTTTGGCCGGTGGGGACGACGTTTTCATCTCAAAAAAAGACACAAAGGACTATCACGGAAACATGAATAGCGATCGGTACTTGGAATGGTTTGCCAAAATTGTCGGATTGGTGCCAGACAAATCGGTGTTAGTGCTGGACCAGGCCCCTTACCACAAAAAAAGGGTAAGTTGCAATGTAATAATTGCTAAATATTAAAATTCGTGCATTTATCTTACATTATTTAACAATTATTATAGGTAAAAGACTCAATTATGCCAACCATGGCGTGGTTAAAGGCAGACATACTAGCTTGGTTTGAAAGAAACGCTATTCCATTGCCAGAGAATGTTTCTAACTTCTGCACTATGACGAAACAAACTTTAATAGCGCTGTCAAAAAAATATCCGAAGCCGAAGAAATTCATTGTAGAAGAAATTGCCGAAGCCTCCGGGAAAAATATAAGAATTTTGTGGTTACCTCCAGCTCATTGTGAGTTCAATCCCATAGAATTAGTTTGGTCATTCATAAAAAATGACATTGCTACTAATAATAAAGGCAATAATGCTGAGGGAATATTAGAGTTGGCAAAATTAGCTATTTTAAAAGTAACACCTGAATTATGGAGCCGTTGTGTAAAGCATGCGATTAAATATGAGGATCGTATGTGGGATAGGGATAAGCTTGTTGATGAATTTATTTCTAACCCGAAGATGGCTCAAATTATAATTACTGCAGGAAATGATTCTTCCGATTCTAGCTCTTCTGATTCTGACGACAATGAATAATATATCATAATAAATAAAGAATATGTAAAATTTGAACGCCAATTGGGATTTCCAGAAGTGAGTTATTTTATTTATTTCATGAGCGGTGGTGGTGGCTCCAGCACTACACTGCTCAATACCTCCCTGCTAGGAGGAGCGAAATGACGTCAGAGCTGCAAACTTCACCCGTTTTTACAGTACATACATATTTATAAGCAACATGTTAGTTCAAATTTGTTTACAAGTTCGGAACAATACACGCTTACAATTAGTTTTTATTATTTTCATATTAAGCATAAGAGTAACTTGAGCATAATTACCACAGGAGGTTGCTCCTATGATAGGAGTCCTATCTCCGACGGTTGACCCAGTGACGGGCAACCGCACGTGCCCTAGGCCTATCGAATACTAAAATGAGGCCTACGATCTCGTATGCCCTCCGCCTTGCCGAAAAAGCCTGAGCTCTCGGCCTCACAATTTTCATAATTCTGACCAGCGCTAAGGATGTATTGTGAAACATCTATTTATAGCTCTATTCTAATTATAGCTGATCTCCAAATATAAATAGCCGGGCCCACAGACCAAGGTTTCAAAATTTTAGCCGGGTCTGTGACACCCAGTTTTGGATTTTAGCCCCGGCTATAAATAGAGTATTTTTACGATATGTATAAATAAATATGCCTCAACTCATGTCGATTTTATGTACAACTTGTGCAGTTGAAAATGAAAAACTAACAATGCGACGGTGTGAGGTGGTTATCGCCGATATCCACCGGACTAATTTTAAATTGTTCACGTTCAAAAATAAGTGGACCCGTATTTTTTCGTTTTCCTGAATCGGCATGTTTATGCCCTTGGCGGAATTTTCAAAAAAAATTTCAGCCAAAATTCGGATTTTTAAAAACGCTGTAACTTTTCGAATTTTAACCCGATTTCAAAAAATAAACCCAATTTGTGTTCAGAATTACATCCCTGAAATTATCAAAATTCATTTCTAAATAACTTTTAATTTTCAAAAAATTATCGTTTTTTGGGTTTATACAAATTCAGAAATAGCATGAAAATATCAAATTTATAAGTTCAATTTAGCCGTCCTCCATTTGGCCATTGCATCTAAATAAATATTTTTATTAAATATTTTTTAATATAATTATTTGCTTGCAGAAATCGAACCTTTTTGTGCGGATCTGTAATAATAAACATGAATGACGAATGATATTTATTAGGCAAAAACGTAAACCCGACCAAATCGAAAAACAAATCCATAAAATTCCTACTTTTCCAATGCATGAGTGCGACTGTGTCTCACCAAATATTGAAAAGCGTCAAATTTCCTCCGACAGAAGTAGCATTCATGATTCGCAGTGCTATGCCGTCTTGCGTGCATGACCAAATTGCTTTTCACGTGGGTCGTGTACTCGCACTTGTCGCAGGAGTAGATCGGATCCTCCTTTTTCGCGTGCCTCGACTCCACGTGCCGCCTCAGGTTTGATGAAGTTGAGCATCTCTTGTCACAAAATGTGCACGGATAATCCCTCCGATTTTCATGCACAAATCGGATGTGGTTTTGTAGACCATTTCTACCTAAGAAGGTCTGAAGACAGATATGACAATGCGACACGGCTCGGGTAAATATTTCCAAATGCGTATTCTGTAAAATGAATTGGTAAATTAACTTTTCACCCAATTTTTCCTACTAGGGCCATCCATCCATTACGTCATCAAAAATTTCGATTTTTGCACCCACCCGCCCAACGTAAACATTAAGGGTAGCGAATTTTAATAAGGGGAGGATAAGGGAGCTAAACCCATTAAAATGATGCCGTAATATATGAACGTTCCCATCCCACAACGTGCTTCCTTACCTCGTGACGTTTCATCTTTCCCTTTTTAACGAAACCCTTCCCATAGGTGGCGCAATTGTACGGCTTCTCCGTCGTGTGGGTGGGAATGTGATGCTCAAGATCTCCCCTGGATTTAAATTCCTTTCCGCAAAGGGAGCACGGAAATCGGACCGGATTCTCGGCGTGTTCAGCTCGCACGTGTTTGGAAACGTCATTTTTGAACAGATAGGATTTTTCGCAGCCGGGAAACGTGCATGGAAAACGAGGCCGATCCTTCGTGCTGTGGACGGTGTCAATATGTTGCCGTAACGATGGAAAGGTGGCAAACACCCGGTGACACGTGTCACACATTGGTCGCTCCCGGTTGCTGTGAAGCCCCCACATGTGGGAAGCTAGGCTTTTTGTAAGTTTGCCGCAAATCTACATACGACAAAAACGTGGATTGTATAATTATATTTGTACAATATACAATATATTTACTCACCTTGCATTTGACCCTTGCATTGGGATCGTGCGTGGCCAGGTGTCTGTTCAATTCGGTACGAGTTTTGAATCTTTTTGAACACTTGGAACATTCCCACTTCTTTTCTGGGTGGTTATCCATGTGGATTTTGTACTTTTTGTGTTTATAGAGTTATATGAATACATACATACATATGTATATTTATCCACAAAAAGTTGCTTGAACAAACTTATTTTGGTATCTATTTACATATAACACAAAAAATCAGTTGTACTGTACATATTTGGCTACACGATATGTAGATATTTCAACCAATTTTCCTTCCTAATCAGTCACACATTTCAAAAAAATTAACAAACACGAACACATTTCCTAAAATTTTTACCGATAATTATACTTTTAATAGAAACAAATAATAAATTGTGTATTTACAGTTTGTATGTACTGCTGTGTACGTGTGTCGTGTAGGATTTCTTAATCGATACTTATGTATTCAGGTAGAAATGTCTGTGAGTGATAATGTAAAGTGAAGTAAATTCTGGTTCGTGTGGGTGTGAAAAAGGTTGCGTTTTTCAAACACAACAATGAGTGAAAACTTGACGTAAAAGGTGGTACAAAGTTTTAAGGATGCGTTAAACGTCTCGCATAATATGTATTATAGGTAGTTATCTACCTAGTTCCCTTCTTACCTGTTCATGATGGTTTATGTAAGTATTTCATATTTAGTGTTAAGACGATGCAAAAGCCAGTGGAATTTCAGAAAAAGGTTGCATTTTCTCAGCAAAATATGTGGACCAAGAAGCCATAAAATTCGGTCAAGGACAAGTCGTTAATAGAACTCCTTTCTAAGTTCCATTCCCTTGCGATAAAAATAGCAAACCTCACCTTAGTACTCAAAGATTCATGTGTTGCTTAAAAGGAAGTTAACAAGTAAAGTTATGGTTATTAGCTCACCCTGCGTAGCATGAGAGCTATTGAATTCCTCTTGTCCGTCCGTCTGTCTGTGTGTTCACGAGTTTTTTGCATCAATTGATGCTAATTAATAAGTCCCAAGACCATTTTAACCACAATTTGTAGCACAATTGGTATCAAAAAATCGTTAACGCAAAATGGTGCGAAATAATTGGAGGAATCGATGTATTCTGCACCAAGGATTATGATTAATTGAAAGTTCTAGTTAGCCTTGGCTGACATAACTTAGCCTAGAAATCGTGTCAAAATTTAGCTTAATTTTAACCATTTCGGCTGCACCATTGGTGCAGGTTATACTAAATTTCTTTTATTTCCCATTTATTTTGTACCATTGGTGCAAAATTATATGAAAATTATGCATCTATTTTATCCGATTATTTTGCACCTTTTATGCAAAATTATGTGCAACTAATTATTCCAGGGTGAGCTACTTCTAACGTTACTACGGTTTATTTCTAATGATGTGAAAAAGGCTGCATTTTGTATCCATGGCAACGAGTGAAACCTTGATTCTCCTTAATTCGACAGGAAACAATAAATTCGATCATTTTTAATTACGTCCCCAAAAATTAGACACACTTTGGCAAAAACCGGACGTAGAAAGTCGAATCCGTTCTAAAGTTATTGTGGATACGGACGGACGGCTGGACGGACAGACAGACAGACAGACAAGACATTTCCATTTCCATAAAGGGGTTTTCACCCCTAAATAAAGTATAACAGTAAATCCTTTTAATTAATTTAAGCTCCAGTAAACATTTTTAGTCCATTTTTGCACGATTTCAAATTTTTCGAAGGTATTTATCGAAGATAGTATTCTTTTTACAAATATTATTTAATATTTATATACTATTTACATCCTAAGTAAATTTGTAATTATTTATATGTACTACATTAGGAAATTTACATAGAGTAGGAGAATAAAGAAAATATTACCTCTATCGTCCATTACACACATAAGTTTTTCAATTTTTCTTGAGTATGAACTCGACAATGGGTGACCAATTCATGAAAAGTGACGAACGTCTTCACACAAAAGTAACAATCATGCTTCGCCACATTGTGACGTATTTTGTGCTTGCGCAAATAGCCTTTGGAGTTGCTCTTGTACTCGCACTTGTCGCAGGAATGGATCGGCGCTTCATCCGCGGCATGTTTCGCTTCCACGTGAGCCGTTAAGCTTGATGCGTAGAACAATGCCTTCTCACAAAATTGCCATGCATACCTAGTTGTAAAGGCTCAAGTGTCACCAGCTAATTTCTCGAAAACTACCTGTCAGAATTAAAAACGGATATGTGCATTGGAAAGCCCATGCGATTTACATTATGATTCACTATGGACTTTGTAATTTTTGAACATCTGGATAAATATATAGGAAATTGAAAAGAAGCGGGCGGCGATAGTTTTTCACAAAAAAAATCCAAGAAAAATAGTGAATTTGACATGTGTTGAAAAAGTCAGAGGTGTACTTTAATTTAGCCCAACGGACTATAAAAACGTTCATGGGGACCGAATCGACAAAGAACAGTCGAAGAAGAATTTTTTGAAAACCTCCAAGGACCACACCCATCGTGAAGCCTCTCAAGCCTGGAATCCGAAGAAATTCAAGAAATTCCAACGGAAACCGGGCCCGCTGCTGACAGTATCGACGCAAATTATCCAATGATAGCTCAAATTGAAGCTTGAGCTTAAGGCTTTAAAATGTGGTACTTGCCACAGCCTGATCTTACCCCAAAGGAAAGCCAGATTAAAGAAATGCAGCAGTCACCTCAAGCGGTACGCTCCAAAAAAGTTAGCAGGATTATTTTTACAAATGAGGAGATTTTCACATCGGAATAATCTTTTAACAAGCCAGTTGTCCTAATCTACGCAAAATCGGTCAAAGACATCCCCCGATATAGACAAAAGGTCAGAAAGTCACATAATCCAGGTTTTTTGATGATTTTTACTGGTGGGAGATAATTGGGGTAATTTCTCTACATTTTGCTGAAAATTGGGGGGAGGTGGGGGAATCAAATTTCTTAAAATATGTTTTTGAGTCCGTGGTACATCCCCTAAGTGAGATCCAATTCAATGGAATCGATGGGACCTCTCAGGAGGACTCAGCACGAACTTATAGTGCAAAAAATGACCCAAGCGTAGCTAATAAAACAAATTCCGGTCTTTATCTCCAATCAGAAATGGTCATCATCCTTGCTGGATTTGAAACACCGGAATATGAAAAATGGTTAAAGTTAGAGGCAAAGGTGTGTTCTAAGCCCTGTAGAAGTGCGGAGGCTTGGAAAAATTTTCTGACCCCGGAATGCCACAAAATGTCCCTGGAATTGTGCGTAATTCCATCGAGGAGTGGCCGTCTCGTCTTCAGCGTGGCATTGCCGTAGGAGGAGGAAATTTTTAAGACTAAAAATTGTTTCCAACTTGAAATTTAACTGGCTTTTAAATGCAATACATCAGAAATTTGTATTGCTAAAATTAAAAAAGTTGTAGCCCTCTAAATTACTGACACTTGAGCCTATACAACTAGGTAACTCCTCCGATTTTCATGCACAGCTCGAAAATGAAATTCTAAATTACGCCTAGGTAAAAAGGTGCGACAACAAATGGAACACTTTTCCCTGTGTCGGGTAGCTTTCTCCAAATGCGTCACCTGTAAAATGAATTTTCACACATAGATAAGTAAGTAATTTTTCACTCACAATGGAACCTTTTTTCAAGCTACACCGGGATCGATTGGCGAGTTATGTCGAAAAATCCAAAAATTTCGCACTTTTCCCTGGTTTTCGCCCCTTGGAGGAGAAAGCAAGAGAAAATTTGCTCAAAAATTGAACTTAACCGCCAATACTTTTCTTCACAGGGGCCATTCAGCGGAAAAATCAGTGTCACGTGACTCCTAACTTTTGGCTTGGTTTTTTGACATAACTCGCTAGACGATCCCTGTATAGCTTGAAAAAAGGTTCCATTGTAAGTTTTTACGACAACATGCATGTCTACCTCGTGACTTCTCATGTGCGATTTATGAGCGAATCTCCTCCCACAAGTTGTGCAAGTGTGCGGCTTCTCCGTCGTATGGGTGAGGATGTGACCCTCAAGTTCAACCCTGGTTTTGAACTCCTTTCGGCAAAGTGTGCACGGAAATCGGACCGGATTTTCGGCGTGATTCGTTCTCACGTGCCTGGCAACGTGGTGCTTGTGCAGGAAGGTTTTCTCACAGCCGGGAAACGTGCATGGTAAACGGAGCCGTTCCCTCGTGCTGTGCACGGTGTCAGTATGGACACGCAAGTTTTGAACAGTGGAAAACACCCGGTTACACGTGTCACAACGTGGTAGCTCCCGAGTTCTGTGAATATGCCACATGTGGCTAGATAAGGCGAGTCTGTTTTTGTAAATTAGGCCGCAAACCTGGACAAGATGAGATATGAAAAATTTTGATATTAGCATTGGTCTCACTTTTTTCAAATTTGCGTGCTCACCTGACATTTGACCTTGGCATTTGGATCGTGCCTGACGATGTGGTTAGTCAAGTCGTAGCCCGTTTTAAACGTTTTTGAGCACTTTGGACATTTCCGTTTCTTTTCTGGGTTCTGAGCCATACTTATTCTGTGTTTTTATTGTTTGCAGATTTATGTATGCATGTCTAGATGATGAAAAAAGATGACAAAAATTCACGTAGTTACATACATACATTTAAATTGGATGAATACGCTCTAACAAGGGAACCACTTCTACTGTCCCATCTCGATTTCCTTCGGAATAGCCTTAATCGACAGATAATTTAGTGGAACTAAAACTTTGTCATAGAACATGCGATGCAAAATCACGTTTTCGCGAAATATTTGGCGAGAGCTGCACCAAAAGCTGCCATTTTCCCAATGCTTTTAACATAGCCACCAGCCTTTCGATTGATGAAATGAACTTTATAGGATATTGAAAAATTGTTTATGTACCCGTCCGCGTTCCTTTAAATTCAACAAAATTTTCCTTATTGCAAAAATTTGCAAAAATTTGCAAAAATTGAAGTTTCGCAATTTTTCAATTTTTAGCCCGAGTCAGGGCTCATGTACCCGTCACGTCCGTCTGTCCGTCTGTCCGTCTGTCTGTCTGTCTGTCTTACGATAACTGCCGTAAAACTAATCCGATCGACTTGAAAGTTTGCACATATGTAATATGGGTCAAATGAGGAGCTAAGTTCGAAGATGAGCGAAATTGGTCAAGTGGTTGACCGGTGGGGGTCATATAGGTGGGTGGGGTATTATGCACCAAATTTTCAAAATTGTAGTAGAAGGCTGAAATTTGGTACAGAGAATGGTAATCGTTTTTAATAAAAGAATACAAAGTAAAATTGTTAAAATTTTCATGTGGAGGGACCCTAGGGGGTGACCCACACCGATTTTTAAAACTTATCCAATCGAGCTGAAATTTGGTATGGGGATTGCTAATGGCTACTAATGAAAGAATATGAATTAAAACTCGACACATTTTCACCTGTACAGACCCTATTGGGTGACCCATACCGATTTTGCAAATTCATAAAATCGAGCTGAAATTTGGTAGACAAGTTGATAATTGCTCCTGATGGAATAATATGAAATAAAATATGAAAAATTTTAATCTGGAGGACCCTACTGGGTCTGGGTGACCCATACAGATTTTTTGAAGTCTCATATCAAGTTGAAATTTGTTAAATAACCTGCCAGCTGTTATTAATCGAAGAATATGAATTTAAATTGGAAAATATATCTAAATTTTTAAATTTTCTGAAATGAATTTGCGATAAAATTTCGTGCAAAAAAGTCGGATTCAGTGATAATCACAACTTGGCCTGACTCGGGATATATCAAGTCTGTACTGTAGGTTTTCATTATCGTTTCATTATACAAACTAAAAAATGATCATTTACATACATATGTATGTACGAATGAAGGAAAAACTAATTTGTTTAACAACTAAAAAATCACGCCACATATTGCAATTTTTGCAACTTGCAAAAATAAATATCGCAAATAATTTCGAGAAATACGTAAAAATAGACTAGCATTGGTTATCTTAACTAATTTTCATGAAAAATTGCGAACTTAAATTCTTGCAAATTTTTGCAAAGTTTTTGCAATAAGGAAATTATATTTTACGTTAGCTAAAATTTTATTGAACTTAAAGGAACGAAGAATTCAAATTTGCGAAATTTGTCCGATTTTCGCAATTTTCAAAAAAAATTGGCAAATGTCTGCATCACTTTTTGCATATTCGTGATCGGGCTGAAATTACGCGGACGGGTACATAAATAATTTTTCAATATCCTATGAAGTTCATTTCATCAATCGAAAGGCTGGGGGCTATATTAAAAGCATTGGGAAAATGGCAGGTTTTGGTGCAGCTCTTGCTAAATAATTCGCGAAAACGCGATTTTGCACCGCATGTTCTATGACAAAGTTTTAGTGTCATTAAATTATCTGTCGATTAAGGCTATTCCGAAGGAAATCGAGATGGGACAGTAGTTGAGGTTCCCTTGTGAGAAGAGATTCGCACAAAGTTACACCAATTTCCGGCTAACAACTAACATTTTTTAAAAAGGATTACTAAACATGAAGCACATTTCCGGCTAGTTTTAATGATCTTAAGATTTATTATAGCAAGGAAAACTTGTTCAGCTAGCTAGTTATTGAAGTTATTAGTTATGAAAATTTCGTTGCTTACTGTTTGCTCTGTACAAGAGTCTCAGGTGGTGATTGGGAGTAAGTGGCCAGCAATTTGAAGACATTATTAACGACAAACAATAAGTTTTGTGTTATTCAGGTACCAATTTACCGCAGTGTGCTATCGTTAATTATCCTATATTGTGTAGGATTATTACATAAACCATTTCTAATGTAGGTATTCGTATGTGTGCATAAAACGCTGTTTATGCGGGTGTTGCCTGAGAGTAAGTGCACAAGTAAAGTCATCGTTCGTGTGGTGTGAAAAAGGTTGCGTTTTTTTCATTCGAAGCAACGAGTGAAAACTTGTGAAATTCCTGAACGAAAATAACTAACCCTTCACCTTTGGGGACCATTCAGAATAAAAACATGTGTTAATCGAACCATTAATTTTGAACTTTTCGGAGGAATTTGTCATACAGGAGAACTCAAGCATGGAGTAAATGTTTTGCTTTACTTAGTTTGCAGCCGTTTATTTATTAATTAAAATAATCAGTCGCGTTATTTCTTTTTATTTATTTAATAATCCATGTTATTTAATTTTACATATGTATGTACGAATGCTTAAAACGTTGAACTGGATGTATGTATCTTTCGAAAGACGACTAAATCTACCCGATTTAGACTCTGACTCGTAGTTTCAGAAAACTTGTCTCAAGGAAAAGTCAGATTCACTCCCAGAACTTTTATTGACCACGCAAAATCAATCAATATCACAAAGTCTGATTTCTGACGAGAGCTCACAATCAATTTCACAATTAATTCATCAATTTTACAATAATTATCCAAAACGGCATTGAGTTTCTAGTCTATCATTTTACATACAACGCCATAGAAATGTCTGCCAATTATTTTACAATTAAAATTATCTATGTGTACATACGCCATAATTTAACAGTATCTATACTCACAACAACGTACATACTGTAAAAACGGGTGAAGTTTGCAGCTCTGACGTCATTTCGCTCCTCCTAGCAGGGAGGTATTGAGCAGTGTAGTGCTGGAGCCACCACCACCGCTCATGAAATAAATAAAATAACTCACTTCTGGAAATCCCAATTGGCGTTCAAATTTTACATATTCTTTATTTATTATGATATATTATTCATTGTCGTCAGAATCAGAAGAGCTAGAATCGGAAGAATCATTTCCTGCAGTAATTATAATTTGAGCCATCTTCGGGTTAGAAATAAATTCATCAACAAGCTTATCCCTATCCCACATACGATCCTCATATTTAATCGCATGCTTTACACAACGGCTCCATAATTCAGGTGTTACTTTTAAAATAGCTAATTTTGCCAACTCTAATATTCCCTCAGCATTATTGCCTTTATTATTAGTAGCAATGTCATTTTTTATGAATGACCAAACTAATTCTATGGGATTGAACTCACAATGAGCTGGAGGTAACCACAAAATTCTTATATTTTTCCCGGAGGCTTCGGCAATTTCTTCTACAATGAATTTCTTCGGCTTCGGATATTTTTTTGACAGCGCTATTAAAGTTTGTTTCGTCATAGTGCAGAAGTTAGAAACATTCTCTGGCAATGGAATAGCGTTTCTTTCAAACCAAGCTAGTATGTCTGCCTTTAACCACGCCATGGTTGGCATAATTGAGTCTTTTACCTATAATAATTGTTAAATAATGTAAGATAAATGCACGAATTTTAATATTTAGCAATTATTACATTGCAACTTACCCTTTTTTTGTGGTAAGGGGCCTGGTCCAGCACTAACACCGATTTGTCTGGCACCAATCCGACAATTTTGGCAAACCATTCCAAGTACCGATCGCTATTCATGTTTCCGTGATAGTCCTTTGTGTCTTTTTTTGAGATGAAAACGTCGTCCCCACCGGCCAAAAATCCTAATTCGTTGCCAATGTGGTTAATTATAATGCGTCCGTTTGCCGACTTCAATAAAAATCCCCCTGTTTCCGTAAAGAGAAATTCATTTTAATTTGCAAATAGATATTTACTAATAATTTTCTTATCAGCAATATTTTAAGTTTGACCTACCAGCATAACCGTTCATATCCCGCAAACAGTCGCCACCCCAAAACCCCGTCATGTCTTTATACTCTTCATCAGATAATAAAATCTGCCAGCAACGACTCCTCGCTTGATCAGGTGACGCCCAGGTTTCATCAGAGTAGAATACTGAGTATCCTTCTTGGCGAAACTTGCGAATACTTCTTAGGTAGAATTCTCGTTGGGCGACGATGTCGTAGCGTTCCAAGAACACAGGTTTTTTATTGATTTTTCGGTACTTAAATTTGCATTCATTTATCATCCACTCCCTAAACAACGTTAGTTTGATTCTTGGAAATTCGGGATTATCTAAGCAACGATCAAGTAACTTTCTGGCCGTAGGATATTCTTTATTTTTATAAAATTCCTGATTTAATCGTCTTATCATAGAGATAAAAAATTCTTCGCAAACTATTTTTTTTGAGCTGAGTTTTTTTACTGATTCAGTATTTAATTTGGCATCGTTGATTTTAATTCCATATACTGATCTTTCTGATATACCTAGCAATTTAGAGATTTTCTTATTAACATTGTTTATTCCTAGCTCTTTAAAAACTGTTTGACATTCGCTTGATGTTGAGAACTGTCCGATTTGATTATCCTCAGAGTTGTGGTCACCGTGTAGCTCATCTTGAGAATTAAAACTGTTTTCCCCACAACTTAAATTTAGTATTTTATTTTTTGATTGAATGAATTCTTCTAACTTATTCTTCACTTTGTTGATAAATATTCCAATTTCCGATATTGCATGCTTAACGTTCAATTTATCAGTCGAAATGTGTCTTTTTTTTGAAGGGGGTTGATTCTCGTCTGACATGATATCAGTTATCAAATGATCAAGTAAAAATTAAATAATAATTGTCAAAATAAACTAGTATTTGAATTACTAAAAATGAGCTATCAGCGTGTGCGTAATGGTGATAAATAAACATTTACCATCTGATTCGAATAATAAATAAAGAATATGTAAAATTTGAACGCCAATTGGGATTTCATGAGCGGTGGTGGTGGCTCCAGCACTACACTGTTCAATACCTCCCTGCTAGGAGGAGCGAAATGACGTCAGAGCTGCAAACTTCACCCGTTTTTACAGTATGCACGTACATATTTCGCGACGCGAGATTTGTATTACTAGTTCGTCCATAGTTTACCAACTGGCCGCCGCTATAGGACGTCGCCGGTTTCACCAGTCACGCCCCATGGCGCAGTGGTATTAATGTACGGCTTGAATCCCCGTTTATCGCCATGAACGCAAGTTCAATCCCTGCACTGGGCATGAAAATTATTCCCATGCCTTTTTGCATGACTTTTTGGACAAAATATTACCCGTTTCAGACGTATTTTGGGACGCGGATTTCAAAAAGGGTCATCATTTTCACCTGCGATGACCCAGCGACTGCGTGAATGACGTAAACGTTAAAAAATGAAGAATTTTTTGTGTTGGCGGGTTTAGACGTTGTTTTTAGTGGAGATTACTGGAGATTTCGAAAATCACCACTATTTTAATGTACGATGACCCCTTGGATGTGTAAATGAAGTCAAGCGTCAAAATTATATTTTTTTTTCACTTTTCATGCACATACATATTCAGATATGCACACTTTACTCCGTGCATTAAAAGTGAAAAAAATTGAAAATTTTGACGCTTGACTTACAATGGAGGTCTCCCAACGTATGCTCACACATTTGGACGAAATTAGTGTCAATCGATGACAAATATAATTAGTATGAAATTTGCAAATGGAACTATCTGCCAATACGCAGGTTTGGCGGAGATATTTGCATTCAAAGCAGAAAAAATGCGCAGGAAATTTGGAAAATGAAAAATATGCCAGCCTGTTGTGCGTTTTCTCCTCTTTTTACGCAAATATCTCCGCCAAACCTGCGCATTGGCAGATAGTTCCATCTGCAAATTTCATACTAATTATATTTTTGATCGATTGACACTAATTTCGTCCAAATCTGTGAGCATACGTTGGGAGACCTCCATTGTTAGCAAACAGCCATAAATTTGATTATTTACCTAATACAAACATAACTATGTTAACTTTTCTAAAGTATGAACTCGACAATGATTGACGAAGATTAAAAAAGTGAAGGATTTCTTTCCACAAAAGTAACATTTATACCTCGCTGCGTTGTGACGTAATTAGTGGTTGGCCAAATTGACTTTCGAGTGAGACTTGTACTCGCATTTGTCACAGAAATGGATCAACTCGTCATTCGTACCATGCCTCGCCACCACGTGACGCTTCAAGTCTGACGAGCTGGGAAATCTGCGAGCACAAAATGCGCACGGGTAATTCCTCTGATTTTCATGTACAGTTCGGACGTGAACTAGTAGACCAGACCTACTTAAAAAGGTCTGAGGACAGAGGTCACACTTTGATACGGATCGGGTAGATTTTTCTAAATGCGTCTTCTGTAAAATTAATTAGTAATTTGTCATTCACACATTAAAAATAATGTTACGTTCTTTAAAGTAGTAAATGCACTATAAAAAGTAAACTACACTGTAAATAAAGTTGAGTAAAATTGCCATCAAAACAACTATTGAGTAAAATTTACTCTGACAAAGGTAAAATTTACTCAAGGTTGAGCAAAAATCTTTCAACTTTGAGTAAATTTTACCTTTGTCAGGGTAAATTTTACTCAATAGTTGCTTTGGTGGCAATTTTCCTCAAAATTGAGTAAATTTTAATCAAATTTATTTAGAGTGTACTAAATGCAGGTTAACTTTAAATGGATAAATTGTAAAGCCATCTTTGAATTTTGAATAGTTTACTTATTACGAAATTCCGAGTGCATTTACTTTTCGAAAGGGTTAGAATGTTTTTAAGTGTGCACTTTATCCCACAATCAGCTCATTTACCTCGTGACGTTTTCTATTTTCCATGAGGGCGAAACCCCTCCCACAAGTGGCGCAGGTGTAGGTCTTCTCCGTCGTGTGGGTGTGAATGTGACGCTGAAGGTGTGCATTCGTTTTGAATTCCTTTCCACAAAGGGTGCACGGAAATCGGATCGGATTCTGGGCGTGTTCAGTTCTCTCATGTTTCACCACGTCGCCCTTGCTCAGGTAGGTTTTGTCACAGCCGGGGACCGTGCATGGTAAACGAGGTCGTACGTTCGCGCTGTGGGCGGTGTCAATATGTTTCCGTAAAGTGGAAAGATCGAAAAACACTCGGTGACACTTCTCACAACTTGGCTGCTTGCGATCCCTGTGAACTTTCGACACGTGGCAAGATAAGGAGCGACTGTGTTTGAAAATTTTGCCACAAACCTGAACAAGAAAATGTTCAAAATATAAGGAGAGAGATGCTCGACTGTTGGAGTATTTTCAGCTACTGATTTTATTAAACGCAGCTCATTGTCATACATATAAGATCATCATCTAAGTCATTCAACTTTTCATGCATGCATTTATCCACCCATAATATTAGGTGGTCAAGTATGTGCAATGATGCACATTTAGCGACATAATTCATATTATAACATACACAATCAGGGTTATTTTCAACACTCCCTTTAACAATTATTTACGTATGAATAATAATATGATTGCTTGGTCCATTGATCTCCTTGAGAGGCTGCTCCTCAGCTTGGCGTTGAATCCGTTTAGGACACATATTGCATTTCTTGACAAGAAATACTATTGCACACAGAAAAACTACTAGTGAAAATAATATCCCTAAAATTAACACTGTTATTTCTGATGCTGTCCAATTGTCATCGCTGAATGAGAACACCTGCAGATTCCTGGCTTCTTTTTGAATCCGTTCGTCATTTGTGTTCCAGATTTCATTTAAGTCTTCACTTAAATGACTCCAATTGACTCGCGGATTCAAGTGCCAGTTTACGAGTTCAGAAAAAAGAGGATCTTCTCGCTCTTTATAGACGACACGTAATATATTTCCCTTGAATTCAACCTCGTTCAGAGTGAATGTCAAAGATAGTGGCAATGTGAATACTTTGTCTCACTAAGAGTCTACTCTCATGCTCACCCGTCAGTAATTTTTTACTTATGATGAGGATCCAAACCATGCTCAAGGCAGATTATTTTCTGATCATGTCAATTTGAGGGGGGATCTTTTTAGAAGTATTTATAAAATGTAAAATATAACATTCAATGCGGCAGTTTGCACAGATACTAAAAATTCAGCAAATTTTGGACGCCCGCGAGAACGTCGCGAAAAGGTGCGGTTTTCAAGTTTAACTTGTGCCTTGTGTGTGGCAGCATTTGCGCATTTTTGCGAACTTGTGGCCCCTAAAACTTCCTGAATTTTTCGCATCTGTGCAAGTTCTTGGTTTCTAAAATTTCTCCTTCAAATTTATATCGTCAAAAAATATACTAGGTTGAGCATGGTTTACGTCCCTATTGTACATAAGTTTTTTGGGAACAACTAAAGTACATACATAGATACATACCTCGTGACTTTTCATACTTCCCAGCAGTGCGAAACTCTTCCTACACTTGGCACAATTATACGGCTTCTCCGTCGTGTGGGTGCGAATGTGAACGTCAAATTCATCCCTCGTTTTGAATTCTTTTGCGCAAAGGGTGCACGGAAATCGGACCGGATTTTCGGCATGTTCGGTTTTCACGTGCCGTGAAATCTGTCCCTTGTTTAGGTAGGTTTTCCCACAATCTGGAAACCTGCATGAGAAACGGGGTCGTTCCTTAGTGCTGTGGACGTTGTCAATATGTTTCAGTAAGTTGGTCGAAGTGGCAAACACCAAAAACACCCGATGGCACGTGTCACAACTTGGCCTTTTTCGGTTGCTGGTGGTTCGATAAGGCGGCTCTGTGTTGGCAAATTTTTCCACAAACCTGCATACATAGGCAGACAGAAATATTTATGTAGTGTAAAATTATTTAGCTAAATTTTTGAAAATTTATGTACCCGCTCATCTTACACTTACACTTGACCGCAGTATCGTTATCATGCCTGGTCAACTCCTTATCCGTTTTAAAAGCTTTTGAATTCTGTCCTGCCTGCAGCTCCATTAATGGATTCGATATTTGTTAATTTCTTAATTTTTCAAAGAGTTGTACTAAATTGATGAACGTTAACAAATTTAGGAAATTTGCTACAGCTAAGAAAAAATCGGCTTATTTTGACACAATATTTTAACAATTTATTCCCAACTATTCACACTTTTTGAAAGCATTGACAAAAATGGGACGCGTTTCCAGCAATTTTTAGCGATAATGATATTTATTGTAGAAGCACACATTAAAATTTTCACTATTTATGTATCTATTTTGTATTACAGGGTGTTAAATATCGTTTCTTAGCGGATTTATAACTTATGAAAATATTGCTGAAGAGGAAATGTATTCGTGAAGTTAGTGTTGGTTCGTCTGGGTGTGAAAAAGGTTGCGCTTTTAAAACATTGCAACGATTAAAACGACACAAAATCAGGTAAGAATTTCCAGGAATTTTGGTAGCATTCATCCCATCGCTAGGAAACCTTCTACTTTTTTCCCTTTTTTCAACCATTCCTAATTTTAGTCGACCCTTTTAAGTCCCACATTCACACTAGAATACATAACCTGCCCATTCGTTTTCTTGCTTGGTAAATTAATTAAACCCAACGACTTGTACATACAGTCAATGGAAAAAGTATTGGCAACCCCCACGCCAGCTAAATAAAATTGGCTGTAACCTTGTAATGCATTATACAATTGGTATGAAAATTTGTTCGCATTTAGCAAATATAATATAGTTTTCGATTATAATCATGATTTATTAATTAAAATTAAATAAACACAGTTTTTAAATAAGTTATTGGAAAATTTGCAAAATTCACCAGCAAAAAGTATTGGCAACATGTGGCCAAATTAATTACGCGAAACAACTTTCTTAATGAACTACCACACTTCATTACGGTAAGTTAATTAGGTGACAAAATACGACGATAGCTACATTTTAAGTCAGCAGTTGTGTTGTCTGGAACCAAAATGGCGACACCAAACGAGTTATATTTGGCGCGGCAAGAATTATTCATTTATTTTTCGCAAAAAAAACCTGGATATCTAAAAATCAATAGAAAACATACTTTTTCATATTTACTATTGGAAATGTAGCCAAGAAATATAAAATGGCAATTTTAGTTTCTGCTTTTCCGTGGTTGCGGAAGAAAAAAGTCACCTTCGCCCAAAGGCAAATGATGAATCAAGCAACAAATTACTTGAAATCGGAAGATTTCAACATCCAAAACCAATTAGAATTTGAGAACCAACTGTGGAGTCAATATTTCATACAATATGGTGATCAATCAAAAATCCTACCAAGGGGTTTTAGGGTCCAGTAGCCCCATAGAAGAGAAGGCCCCCGAAACGAACCAACTCAAGGTATTTAAATCAGCTAAATACCACCCTAAATAGACTTCCAACGGATGAAGAAGGGTCTAGTGGTCTCACATAAGTAAATTTAACTTATTCGGTGCGGGTTCGATGGTTAGAGTTTGGAGGATGCAAAATGAGGCCCTCAAATATGAATGCTGCCGTCTGGGAGTCAAGCTCGGAATTGGATCGATTATGGTTTGGGGTTGAATGACTAGGTCGTTGCGTAGTTAGCTGGTAATTATCGATGAGGTTATGACCAATGAGGTTTAAATAATCATTCCAAGCGATAATTTGAAATTATTTTGCAAAAACCTGACCTAGGAAGGAATTTAATGTTCCAAAAATGCAGTGACCCCAAACATGTAGCCCAATTAGCAATGCAAGTTTTTGAGGATCTACGAGGTTAAGCTTCTCTCGTTGGTTGCACAGTCTACCGATGTGAATCTGATTGTCTGGGTTGAGAAAGGAGAGACTGATGGAAAACCACTCGTCAAAAAACGAGCTGGACAAAATTTCAAACGAAGATTAGGCAGACATGTTAAAAAGCGTTATAAAAAGATTTTTCCAATCGATTACAATGCGTATTTCTGCTCTTATTGTGTCGAGGGGAGGTGATATGTATTACTAGAAGCAGTTTGTCGCAATAAAATTTGCGTTTTATTGATTTATAATTTTTTAAGTTAAGGGTTGCCAATACTTTTTGCGGGTTAATTTTGCAAATTTTCCAACAAATTGTTTAAAAACTGTGTTAATCTAATTTTAATCAATAAAACATGATTATAATCGAAAACTACATTATATTTGCTAAATGCGTACAAATTTTCATGCCAATTGTATAATGCATTCCATGGCTACAGCCAATTTTATTTAGCTGGCGTGGGGGTTGCCAATACTTTTTCCATTGACTGTACATACTTTGTGTAAGGAATTGGTGATCGTCCACGATTAATTTGGCATCATAGCTGCAACCCGTCACCGTAGTTTATTTATACGGCGCGTAGCTAGATGACGTGTTTTTTATTCTAATTTTTTGCACTTTCTTGCACCTTCACATTATAGCGGAGACTACTTGCTAGGCGGTGAAGAAATGAAGGGAACCGTTAAGAAACGAAGCGCTGTTTTTAGCAAAGATTTTACAGTCGTTCACACGTTTTCTAACAAAACATTTCACAAATGTTACCAAATGTCCAGCATGCTTGATCAAATCTAGTCTCGAATACATCGAAATCTCAACAAGAATGATACACACTGCAACCAAGTTACAAATCAGGTACAGAAAGAATAAAATTTTAGGCGAAGAATTTAGCACCAATGGTATTGGAACGTCCTTCGGGAACATTTCCTCCCTCGTTGAGTTTGCAGAACGTTCAAAGTCTATCCGAAATCTGGGGATAAACACAAATTATATTTAAGTAACGATCTTTTGAACAAACTGATCGAACGCAAGTCGGACAGTTTGGCAAAAAACTCTTGACGAAAACAATTTGCCTAGAAAATCCCATGTAGCAAAAAGAGTCACTACCACCACGTATTCAGCTTCAGCACAGGGACTCAAAGTACTGTTTGGCGAAAAAAGTCGCATTGTTGCGAAAATATGACAAATTTCGACAATCTCTGTCGACAAACTCTGTCGATAGTCTGGCTTTTCTACTATTTGAATTACATATGTATGTATTAAATGCGAAATTTATAAATTTTTATCGCCAAATGCGTTTGCCTCTTTTATGAGTATTCAATTTTTGACAAATATGACAATAATTTCGTCATCTGGTATCTTAAAGATATTTTTACCATTTTGAAGTAAAAAACTTATTTTCGCCAAACCGTTTGCTAATCAATGAAATTACCATGAGCAATTACCTCTGAAGAAGCTGCAGCCCATCCCATCGCTTCCCTATTCCCGCGCCTTGAAGCAGCTTCAAATAATGCGCCGCATCCCCACCCCCACGGCCTCTGATCACCCAGGGAAACCATCGCGGTATATTTTCTTTCACAGAAGAACAGGAAATATTTTGCATCCGAAATCTTTCCCCTTTTCCAACCAAGGTTTCGAAATTTTTAAAATCCACGGTGAAGAAAGCACCCTCCAATTCCGCTAGAAGTGAGATAAAGGCTTTAATATTCCCAAGGAAACTTGAAACATCTAATTTGGGATATTCCTGAAATGCTTCCGTGAAATTGAAATCAGTAGTGTTCAAGAATTTCCTAAAATGCAGAACCTCCTCCGTAATGGCGCGAATATTTAGGAAAGAGTCGATCACAAATTTATATTTTCCCCAGCGCACAAACTCCTCCAAACTTTGCACAACCCTTTCTCGCGGTGGTTCAATAAATTGCGTTGTAACCTCGGTGGAATAATACCAGCTGATGTGGGCTACACAGAGTAGGATAATACAGCTGAGTGAGGTACCTTTGAGTAAAAAAAGATTAGCAATTAATAGTTTGGATTAGTGATTGGTGATTATTATTTAGTCTGGATTAAGCGTTTATGAGTATTAATCCGGGAAACGCATTGGTAACTATTAATCCGGATTAAGGATTGGTTACTATTAGTCCGGATTAAGGATTGGTGATTATTTATCCGGATTAGGGGTAGGAAGTTATTACATATGTATGAATCTGGATTAGGATTAACTAATCCTAAACAATCCTTAACCCAATTAAGCGAATATTAAAAAAAAGTCCCTGATCCTAAATTCAATCCTTATCGAACTGATTGTCTGTCTCAAAAAAATTCCAACCTAATCCTGACCTTTTTTAGCCCAAGTTCCACAACCAGGTTGACCAAGAAATATCCGCGCGACATCAACGGAGAGATCCGCACTGCGAAAAACGCTACCAATCATGATCGAGACAAAGATCAGTCCTACCCAGACGATGGGATCGAACGGATCCAGCAGAATTGTGAGACTTGGGGGTAGAAAGCGCCGGTAGTAGTAGCAATACATGACACTCATGGGTTTGTAAATGTCCAAATGAATTCTTGGACTGTAAAGAATTGCGTCTTCATACGTCTGCACAGAAAAATTAGAACTCTTCAAAATAATTTTACCTACATGAAAAGTAAAGTCAAACTCAGGAGGGTAACATTTTTTTGAGGAGTAAGAAATATTTTAATTTTCGCACAACTAAATAATTTACGTCAATATTTTTGTTTACCGATTCGTGATAACACATCCAACAAATTTCAAGATTTGGCGCGTCTAGTAGATCATACATTTTCGGTTGAAATGTTAAATTCATCTTTACTCCAACTATCTTGATCGAGATGTGGGGATCGTAACATCGTCCAAATCGAGGTTTGTAGTCTTCGGCTACACAGTCTGCATCCGTAATGGCATCAGCGTCCCCACTAGTTCGAGAGACGAGGAAAGCAATGCCGCGGGAAAGGAAGGAGTCCTTTGTTAGTTGATAGATGAACTCTAAAAAATATTTTACCAATTTAAATAGTCTGAACTCTCACTACTTAATGAAGTAAACTATACTAAATTCAGAATAACGTTAACTTGAGAACAATGTATACTCTGGGTTTAGTTTGCTTAATACAGGATTCATTCAGGGTGCATTTAGTTCATAAAACGGTAACATTGTTGTTGTAAAGAGTGTACATAATTTAGACATGAAACTGAATTTATTTTGAAAGGGTAGTATCATTTTTAAAAGTGTGTCACTACCTGTATCTTGTCGGGTCTGCACTAGTAAATGGTTGTCATCAGGGCATTGGTAGCAGTAGTAATATATTTGCTGTTTGGTGGATTTCGCACCATGAAATAATTCAAAGAATAAGTTTCCACAAACGAAGGTGGCATCCTCAATATTTTTCCCGACGTAGTCCAGCCCTTTATTGAAAATTTTGAGGATACCTGAATGTGCCGGGCTCCAAAGTTTAACGACAAATTGGGTCATGAAGCTCTCATCGTATGCGAACCTAGTCGACCTGATCAGTTTTAGGATTTGGATGGCTTTTGCGCCGGAATCTTGTTGGTTTTTTTCGTCGGGTAGAATAACCGAAAAAGTCTTATGATTTGTTCCATGCTTTGAAATGTAAGGGACATTTTGCTCTATTGTGATAGGTCCGAAACGGTCCGTTTCAATGAAGTTCTTAGAATGGTTACTCGTGAATAAAAGATAAGTCGTTAGTAGCAAAGTTTCGTTAATCTTTGTATGAGGTAGCAATGAAGAGTAATTATTCTGTGTTTCTGTTGTTACCAAGTATTCAATTTGTAGTAATGATGTGCCCATTTTATAAAACGATTTGAGGCAAAGACAAAAAAGTAATGTTAACATAGGCTTGGTCATGGTATTTTTTTGATTTCATGCAAATGATTTGATGACGACGATTTTTTATGTATGTATGTATATGTAAATTTTTAGAATAAAAGTGTATGCGAAGTGTAAGAAGCGAGGATCAGAAGGTGAATAATTTGCTTTAACTTTCCGTCTGGGTTAGAATTTGGGTCGTCTTTTATCTATGTGCATGTCATTTTATCTAAATACGTATATAAGGACACCAGCTTGCCTGGTTTATTTGACGAGAGCTAGAATACTACACGGGTGGTTTTTAAATAATAAATGGCATCCACGTGTGATGTATGTACGTATGCAGGTATGTACATATCGTGACTAACTCATGTTTTGGACTGATGGATGTTCTCCTTGTTATTCAATGTGCATTTTCAATTCTTCCCTTAACGTGGCATTGTATCACGTGGTTTTTTGTTTCAATTGTTGTGTCTCAACTTTCCCTTCCTCCATGTATTCAAATGGCGATTTTGAAAAATGTTCACCGCCTTTCGTTTTTAACAATATGAAGATATTGATGCACCTAAAAATCGGTAATTTTTAGGCTTACATAGTTAGGAGATAAAAATTTTGATTTTTTTCTTCAATGAGGAAATATTTAAATTTTATTGATTATTTTTCATCTATTTTATATTTATCTTCTTGTTGAAGAAAAAAATCAAAATTTTATCTCCTAACTATGTAAGCCTAAAAATTATCGATTTTTAGGTGCATTAATATCTTCATATTGTTAAAAACGAAAGGCGGTGAACATTTTTCAAAATCGCCATTTGAATACATGGAGGAAGGGAAAGTTGAGACACAACAATTCAAACAAAAAACCCCGCATCAGCCAGCATGCTATTCCGCCTTAAGTATATAGACTTCTCGCAAGGAACTTGTTATACAAACATGAGTCTATTTCAATTAACAAAATTAGAAATTCTAAGGCCATTATCTAAGAGTGAGTCGTTTGAGAAGGAAAGAGTTCGAAAAGATCATATGCGTAAGCAGGTCACACATTCAAATATTCAAACGCATTATGCATAAAATACATATGCAATTAATGAGAAATATTCTCTCCGCGATTGGGCCTTTCTTTGAGTGAAATTCCTACCACACAGTCAAACTTAATGACATGATTCATGTTTGCATGTTATCTACAAGGGAAAAAGGTTGATTATTTATATCCAGGAATGTATCAACTTGGTATGTATGTAAGTAGTTAAAAAACGCAACCTTTTTCACACCACAGAAACCAACGTTTACCTTACATGTAAACTTCCTCCTTAGCAACACCGAGTAAGTAATAATATGTAACCGAGTAGGTAATATGATTAGCCAATCCTACCCAAAAAAAACATTTAAAAAACTGTAGTTTTCCAAGCAAGGTAAGCGACTTACTAAATAGTACAGAACTTATTTTTTTCCTCTGCGTATTATAACTACATATATATTATTATCGATAAAAATTTTCGGAAATGTATTTCTTATCCGCGAGTCCATCAACAAAGTGTCAATTAATGGGAAAGAATTGGTGAATATAAATAAGAGATTTTTTTCTTACAGAAATCAAATTAAATTTGTCGAAGGGCAACAATCTTTTGCTAGTGAAAATTTCAAATACATGGATCTGAACCCTGGAAAGAAAGAGGAGTGAATGTACCACATGAATTTTTAGCGAATTTTCGTAAATCTACAACTCACCAAGTACGATAAAAAATGGATGTGAAGGTTGCAAAAAAATGGGACTGTTCAGAGTGCTCAAAATCGTTTAAAGCCAACAAATACTTGACAAAACACATGGTCACGCACGATCCCGATGCCAAGGTCAAATGTGAGGTGAGCAAGTATTTTCAAAGTCTAAACTGATTTTTATTTAACAATTTAAAAAACTCCCACTTTCCAATTCATGTAGGTTTGCGGCACATTTTCCAAAAACAGGATCGCCTTATCTTCTCACATGAGGACTTTTCACAGCAATCGAAAGCGACCAAGTTGTGACACGTGTCACCGGGTGTTTTTCGATCTTCGCTATTTACGGAAACATATTGACACCGTCCACAGCACGATGGATCGACCTCGTTTCCCATGTACATTTTCCGGCTGTGAGAAAACCTTCCTAAACAAGGGATACATGGCGCACCACGTGAAAACTGAACATGCCCAGAATCCGGCCCGATTTCCGTGCAAACTTTGCGGGAAGGAGTTCAAAACGAGGAGTCATCTTAAGCAGCACATTCCCAGCCATACGACGGAGAAGCCGTACAATTGTGCCACTTGTGGGAGGGGTTTCGCCCATAAGGGACAAATGAAAAATCACGAGGTAAATTTTGTATAAAGGGTGGTTAAAATGTCGCGCCACCATTGGAAAACTTGTCAATGGGAAAAGTCCCTAAATCTCCATTAGAGGGTGTTCCGGAAGTAATGCAAATTTGGTCAAATGCACATATAAACTCAACGAATGAATTTTTTAAAGCGAAATTTTGGTCAGAAAGGGACAAAGGTTAAAGCTAATTAAGTTTTGCTTCCAATGGTCCGTACACACCTTCCGCCAAATTTGGAGACGTTTGTGTTGGGCGCTCACAATTAGTGCTTCGCCACTGTTTTTGGTCACCTTTTTTGAGATTTTTGACCACATGTGTTGAAATAAGTTCAAATTTTTGACTGAAGTTTTTCGATTACAATATTTTTTCTAGGATAGGAACTAAAATTTTTCAATAGGTCTTGTATTTGGCAAATTTGGGAACGTTCACCTCTCCCATGTTAATTGCATTTGATCCGTTTTAAGGCGGAGCGTGATACTTTGGCTTATATTTAATTTCCAGTTTTGCATAAATGGTTTTCTTGAAGGTGGGAGAGTTGTACTATGTGCAAATAAAAGCATTTTGATAATCTGAGCAGTAAATCGTCTTGTACAGGACGATCAATTTTGGTTAATTTTAATTACTTCAGGTCAAGGATTTTTTCTGCCCTCCTGCTTGCTACTTTTATTTTACTCTTGACTATATTTATAAGCTTCTAGAACCTTCTAGGATTTGATGTCCAACTTCTAAGCTTTCAAATAATGTATGGTGTTCGGTGAGAACTTCAAGTACTTCAGCGAATTTCGCTCCGACATAACAAATTTCTATCTACACGAAGTTTATTACTTTCGGGGCTGCCACACGAATGTACCGACCAGATATTTTTTGCGATTAGTCGTTTTTTGCATCTCATACCTTAGTATAACACAACAAATCGTCACTTTTGGAATTTCTTATTTTTTAAAGTGAACACAGCTCAATTTCTTGGAGCGCGTAACCACCTTTTCGAGGTATTGGCAGACGATGGTTGCGAGTTGCTTGGTGGTATTTCACCTCATTTTGGAACGGATAGAGATATATCGACGTATAGAGACGTATCGACTTCTGGTTTTCGGATTCTACTAGATAAATGTGTGGACTACAATATTCACCCAATTTCGAATTTGGGGCAAATTGATACCCTTGCATATATGCATTTTACCAAAGTTGCATTACTTCCGGAACACCCTCTAGTTACAAGATTTGGGATTGAAATTTTTATAATTATCAGCAAAACTGATGACAAAACTCGTCAGAGACAAAATTTCGATAACTAACGGAAATCTAAGAATTTTTCCCATCGATAAATTTGCCATTGTAGCGCGTGACATTTTAACCACCCTGTATATCTAGAATGTTGTGCTAAGCTAAGCATCAGGTGAAGAGTTATGTACCAATGCCGTGGAAGAAACTGAATAAGTATGTAGGTGAAAAATTACAAATGTTCATTTTACAGATGACGCATTTCGGTAAATCTGCCCGAGACGTGTCAAAGTGCCACCTATGTCCTAAGACCTTCTTAACTAGGAATGGGCTACAAGGCCACATTCGAGTTGTGCATGAAAATCAGAGGAATTATCCGTGCACATTTTATGACAAGAGATTCTCCATCTCGTCCCATTTAAAGCGTCACGTAGAGGCAAAACACCCCGCGAATAAGGAGCTGATTCATTCCTGCGACAAGTGCGAGTACATGAGCCATTCGAAACACAATTGCGCCGCTCACAGAATGCGTCACAATGCAGCTAGGCAGGAATGTTACTTTTGTGTTAAGAAATTCGTCACTTTAAACGAATTAGTTAAACATTATCGAGTTCATACTTTAGAGACGTGAAAATATTGTTGGAAATTTAGGAATTATGTACCAGATTTGGGTATTATGTATTATTATTATAATTAAATTTGACATATGGAAAATTTTTGCAGAGATTGATATGATTTTAGGTACAAATTTATCTAGCAACTGGACATATATTATTTCGCTAGATTACTCCTTAAACTTTATTCCTATAAATACATATTCGAGATTTATTTAGCTACGCTGTTGTGACTTAGTCCACTTTAATGTGCTTACGTCAAATTTAAGACTACTCAATTCTTCAGGATTGCTGATTTTAATTAGCGAAGTCTGTATACGATGATATGTAAGTGTTTAATATGTTTATATGTACATTGGTTTTGCGTAAATTGAGAATATTTCTAGTAATTAAGCACATTTAATGCTTTATGATATGTATATATAATGTACAGTTAGAGGAAAAAGTTTGCGTACGAGATGTTTCAAGAATTTCAATCCGTTGTCATTTATTCATTTTTTGGAGTATGATGTCCAATTTTTTTCGTAGCATGCTAAATTTATCTAAGTTTCTCACTACGTACAAAATTTCCCCACAAAGTTGCCACTTTTAGCGCCATTAATGTATTTCCGCATGAAGGCTGAAAAACACGAGAAAAAAGTTTGCGTACGAATTGGGTAATTTTTAATATTCGCGACGACCATTTTTTTCGGTAAGCAATTTTTTTATAAATTGTAGATTAGATTATTGTCTGTAGTTTACAACAAAAACTTTTTGATTTAAGTCATGGGTCAACCCCGGAAAGAAATTCCCATCCAACTACGGGATTTAATTATTCAGGACTGGAAAGGGGAGAGCTCTGTGAAGTTATCAATGGGAAAAATCTCCGAAAAGTTCAAAATCCCAAAGAGTACAGTTCAGAGGACAATTCAGCGTTATCGGGAGACCGGTGGATTGCAAACCAAGAAAAGGACAGGGAGAAAGAAAATCTTGACACCACGAGAGGAGATCAAGCTCGTAAGAAAAGTGCAGCGGAATCCATTTCTGAGTGCTCCAAAGCTGGCTGCACAGATTGTACAAGAGTCAGGGAAAACCCTCCATCCCAGCACAGTCCGAAAAATTATAAACAAAAATGGTTTACATGGCCGAATACCCCGGAAGAAGCCATACCTAAGCAAAGTAAACAGGAAGAAAAGACTAGCTTTTGCCCGGAAGTATGTATTGAAGCCACCTTCTTTTTGGTCATCAATACTTTGGTCTGATGAGACAAAGGTGAACATTTTTGGCTCCGATGGACACCAAAAAGTGTGGAGAAGACCAAAGGAAGCCCTAAAAAACAGCAATCTCCGTCCGACTGTTAAGCATGGCGGCGGATCAGTCATGGTGTGGGGCTGCTTTGGTGCTAAAGGCGTAGGAAACTTGGAATTTATTGAGGGAAATATGACTGGGGTATCCTACACAGGGATATTGAACAGGAATCTTTTTGAATCTGGACGAAAAGTTGGACTTGGTCGCCGTTTTACCTTTCAACAGGACAACGATCCCAAGCACACATCCAAGGTTGCGAAGGAATTTTTTAAAATTAACAAGGTAAAAGTGTTAGACTGGTGTCCACAATCACCTGATCTTAATCCCATTGAACACCTCTGGGACGTGACAAAAAGAGAAGTCGGCAAAACCAATGTAAAAAATAAATCCGAGCTAAAAACACGAATCCGGGAGGTATGGGATAATTTAGACCCGGAAGTCATCCGGAACTTGGTTTCTTCGATGCCCAAACGTCTTGAACAAGTTATCAGTGCTAATGGAGGACATACAAAATACTAAGTTAATTTTTTTGTGGATCACATTTTCGAAGATAAAATTAATTTTAAATCGTACGCAAACTTTTTCCGCGTGCTTTTATATTTTGATGGAGAAATTGGTTTTTAGCCCCACCACTGATAATTTCTTTGCAACTTTTTTTACGATGTTAGTATTCGAGATAAATTTAGCATGCTACCAAAAAATTTGGACATCATACTCCAAAAAATGAATAAATGACAACGGATTGAAATTCTTGAAACATCTCGTACGCAAACTTTTTCCTCTAACTGTATGTACATAATCAATAATCGATCGATAACATTAATCACTATTTACACATTGACACATTTTTATTTTATTCTATTGTTAAACTAGTATCATACTTAATTTAGATATGTATCAATTTCTACACATTTTATAAAATACCGTTCACAATTCTCAATTATCCATTTTTCTCAAAAAGTTTGCAACCATAAATGCATACAGATTAACAGCAATCCATTTCCCAGTACTTGCAACCCTTTCAAGAATAAAAAAACCACTCGAAACCGCCAACATAATGAACACAATACAAAACAAAGTTTGAATACTGCTACCCAATTTTAACGGCGGTCCGCCGTACTCCGGTTGTAACCGACCAGAAACGGCGGATTCACTACTACTATTATTATTACCACTCTGTATACTATTCCTGGTATCACTTTTGCTACCAAATCGCAAAATTAACTCATCCATTTCCTGGTAAATTCCAGACTCAAACAGCTTCACAAATTTCCTCGGTATACTCGACTCCTTTGCAAAAACGAAAATCCAACAGTACGCCGTCTCAAATATTTTCTCTTTGCTCAACTTAAAACGATCCGTTCTATATTTTTTGTTCAACTTTTCATGAAACGGTTTAAGCAGTCGGGACTTATCGATAAACACGTTTTTATCACAAGTCACTAAATCCCGCTCTATCGCGGTTCGAATCACGTCATAATTAGCAATTAGACTGTCATTAGATAAATTCCTTTCAAGATTTGGATAATACTTGTGCTTAAAGTTTAAAAAATTGTAAAGCGTGTTAAACCAATTCGGCCACGGTCTCTGTGTGGACGTTAATATGACAAAAATTTCCCGTAAAAATGCATAATTCACCATCTTTTTAAAATCAATTTCATAGTTCCAAGCTTTAGAATAAAGGATGAAACAATTATCCTGGTCAAAAACTGAATCTCCTTCAGGCCAATTGTTTGCCGCGGTAAGATAGCTCATGACAGTTTCGAAACTTTTTGATTCTGCTGATTCCTGGAAACATGTTAAATCTTCAAATGTAGATGGCGTTGTTTGATCCAGTTTTGAGTTTAGCGTGTCAATCGCGCAACCCGTGTAACAATTCGTGAGAATCATAGCTAGCAAGATCCAATGCCAGGTCAACATGCGAAAAACGTTTCTATTTTCAATCTCCTTCGGGATGGGGTAACCTTCTTCAAACACGAATCCCACAAAATATAGGAGCTCCACGAAATGGGAGCAGTTCGTAACGAAGTAATTCAAGTAAAGAGTCCCCGCCGAAATTAGAATAACCAACGTTGCCCCGATCGCAAACCAAAGGTGGGGCGTAAATGGGTTTAAATAAAAGTGGAAACTTAACTCGTAATCGGCATGACAGGAAATGAATTGATACGTGTCCATCGCGGTTAACACGGTATCCGTGAATATTGAAGGAAATCCGGATAGTTCGAAGCGACTCATGTCATGGAACATGATCGGGCGGAGGCAAGTTTCTGAGGCGTAGAATGTTTCCTGGGAATTTTCTTCTTCGGAACAATCCGTAAAAGGAACTATAGTGGCATTAATGGTTTTCAGAAGTTCGTACATGATGTAACGGGACGTTAATGGAAAATTAGTCCAGGTAAGTTTAGAAACCATTTTATCCTTAAACTTAGCATCAATTTGGAGCGATTGGAAATAGTCGAACTGCCAAAGTTTTGGTTCTTCTTTGAAAACATTTGGGAAATCTGAGAAAATTTTATTTGTCCCGCGACATTTAAAGTTTTTAAGGTATGGGAGCGTTACTGATGAGTGGACACAAATTTGTAACCCATCCGTTAAATCCAGAAGGGCTAAATTTGGAACCAAATTCCACTCTCTTTTTGGATTTCGTGTCGTAAATACGGGTAGAATTGAATTATACAGAGGGTGATGTAAGGCTGCTGGCGAGTTTATTATTTCATTAAATGACATTCCCGGTAATAAAATTACTCCAGGAATTTCAATGGTACGCTCAAACCCAGCATTTTTGACTAGTTGACTTTCGCCCAGGTTATCAATTGCCACGAATCGAACAATTTGGCTGAGAAGAGTAGAATACATTTTATCAAAGTTTCCCGTTTTTCTGGTTAAATATATGATTGCAAAGGTGCACGTGCTTCGCACGCTTTTAGCGGAGGCATCCCAATTATTACTTTGTTTCCAATGAGACGGGTAAGCTTGCCAAGTTGAAAAATTTGGAATAGAGCCAAGTGTAACAGTGTAATACTGTTTCATATCATTTATTGGTTGATAATTTTCATACGTTACATTTTGAAATGCAACGTGCCCGTGACAACGGGATGGGTTTTGGTGCATTTCAATTATTTTGTGGAGGAGTGGATTCTCAATTGTGCCTAAATTAGCGTCAAATTTATTTGAAGGGGATGAAACACTGATTTGAATTAAGAAGATGGATTTTACTATTGTTCTTAAAATCGATATGGCGAAAGTAAAAGGATATTTCGAATATTTTAAGTTTTTAATGGACATTTTGGAAATATTACTCGGAAATTGACTTATACATTTGTAGCATGTAAGACTTCGAACTCAAGACGAATACTTAAATAAAGTTAATATGTTCTGAAAATATAATAGTAAATACAAAGAAAAACAAATTAATCACGTATTTATTTATTAATACAAGCACCGTAAAAATCCGGCAGGGTTATACATTTACTCCGCATGCTATCCATTTGGTAACATTTTCCTACCGAATTGGTAGTTGTGTCTGAGTGTTAAATATTTCATTACCATAACATTATTCACATGCCCATAGAGTAACGGATTTATGTAAGCAGGTCAGTAATTATTTAATGCCAGTTTTCTAAGGGTGCACATTTACGTAAAAAAATATTCGAATAATGTCTTGTTTAGTCAAGGACCGGAAACGATGCTATTATGCGTAAAAGACAAGGATTCGTAATTATCCTAGTATAATTATCAAACATTCATAAATACGCCACGTGTAGGTACTGAATTGACTTAAGTATTCGATCGGTTAAATGAGTTTATGTAAATCCCAACATTTAGTTTTCAAGAAACCATGCAAATCGGAGTACAATTGTTAAACAGGCATACATACTTATGAAGATTTGATAGGAATGTTCGTACTAACTGTCAAGTACTAACCAACCAACCCGAGCATAAATACAAAATTATTAAATACGTGCATCATTACGAATCTAGTTATTCATTTCTGCACGGCACGGTAATTAGTATATCCAAACAGATGCTAAACGGGAAAATATGTATTTATCAAACTTGTTACCGTATCAACCATCACAAACCGAAATGCTTACGGGAGCACTAAATTACCTATATATTTCCCGTGCTTGTAAACTCAATTAAAACAATTGATTAGACTCAAATCTGATGATGAGAAGGTGATTGACAGTATAAAACATTGGATGGAATAATTATATACCTATTTTCTAGCAGGATTAGTGAGGGAATGAATGAGTACTATTTTTCAAAGAATATGTAATTTTTCTCGTAATTTATTTTTTAACCTATGCAAATATGTGTATTTAATATGTATATTGATTAAGTTGGAAAACTCAATCCATGAAGACGAATTTGAATATTTAGAATGAATAATTAATATATGTATAATGAGAATTTTTTTATTCTGCATAATTGTTTGCTTATTTTGAAAATGAATGAGTTTTGAAAAAAGAAACATTTCTCAAGCAGATAAATATGTATGTGCATACTCGTTAAAAATTATGTACATATGTATTTAGATAAACATGCAGAAATTAGACTACATTTTCCCAAGGTTCTGGTCTGTACATACATAGATCAAATCTGCATAAGCAATTCGCCAATTTTACAGTCAAACTTTTTCAACAAAAGTCAACATACGCATAAAGATTACTTTCAAATTAATTTTGGCAATTTTTGCACTTTGTACACATTTTTATTCAGCAACCAAATATGTGCACAATTATCGGTAATCACGCAGCTTTATTAACTTTTTTTTAATTCCTCAGCCTTCACCGGTTTTGCCAAGTACGCATCGTAGAAAAATTTAGCAAACAAAATGAAGTAGGTCGAGTACATGATCAAACTCCAGGAAATGTTGGCCTCCGTGACGCCACAAATTTCTCCGCGGCGTTTAGCGCGCATGGCGTGAACATTGACGACGACACCGGCCACCATTTGGACAATTTGGGCGGTCGTTATGGCAACCGAGATTTGTTTAGGAACCCAGATTCGCATCGCTTTTAGGAAATAGTACGAGTACATGAAAGCTGTAAAAGCATTAAAATTTTTCAAATTTTGAAATACGAGGTGGAAGAAATTATGAAATCGTGCTATTTACCATGGATTGTAAAATTCGTCGCCATAAACCATCGTGACGTGGCTAAAATAAGAAAAAATAAAGACATTATGACGACAAATCCGAAGAAATTGAAGATTTTTTAAATAAGGCATTACTCACGCATGCATTCTTTGGTAACTTTGTAAAATTTGAAAATTTTGCAAAATCATTTTAGGAAATGTTGCAAAGAAGACACATTTGCTCTGAGTAAACCTGCACTAATTTCTAGGCTAATTTTCCTCGAAAAGTTTTTAAGCTTGCGGATTTTACAAAGTGACAATTAGGGAATTCAAAACCGGACCCTTTTCTGAAAACCGGTTTTTCCAGTTTTCCACCCACCAAAACCGGTGAAAAACCGGTTTTTCACCGTTTTTCCAAAATAATATTTTGTGCACTAGATAGGTAGAAAAATCAAGTACGTGGGTATCGTAGGTTTAAAAGCCCTAACCTTATGAACAATGGCCTAACGGAAAGATTCACGAAAAACGTCAAATTAATTAAAAAATATATCTTCTCTAATTCTTCTCTAATTCTTGAGGAAATAAATATGCTACCTTAATAGATTATCTGTTACTTATCTGTAGTAATATGAACATGCCAATTAATTGTAAATATGTAACCGAACTATGTAACCGAAATTATAGGGCAGCACTATCTACTTCGATATGTACAGAGCATGGGCCATCCTTACGTAGAAATTTTCAACAATTTTTCTAACCTACATATGAATTTTTTTGGATAATTAACTTGCCCGATGTGATGCCCCTTGTTCTGGGCTACAAGTGTACAGCGCTACTTCCTTGATGAAAACACTTCCTGACCCTTTTGAACGCTTATTTCGAACCACTAATCCAAAAAACTTTTCCAAAGTCCATTTAAAGTCGCAGCTAATTAGTACAATTTCTCCACGATGCACAGGAAATTGACCTTCTCCCGTTACAGTCATCTACCCTGGACATAGCTTCGTCGATTGTGACCACCTATTCGTCCCAACCTCCAACAAGGTGGTTCCTGTACAGCTTTTTAGCGCTGAAACTTGCGATTAGCGATGTGACGCTGGTTAAACGCATGCAGTTTTGTCTTCGTCTGTTTGATTTTGTCCGAATCTCTTTTAATGACTCTTTGAATAGTTGGGGGATTCCATTTTAGTAGCTTCGCCATGCTGCCAATCCTCTTTGAGATTTCTTTGTTTATCGAACGTTTTAGCTTCGTTTTTAGCTTTTTCTACCGATTTACTAGGGGCCGGTTTATAGGGGGAGGAGGGAGTCCCTGATTAATGACTCGTCTTCTAACATCTCCTACATTTATTGTTCTATAAGATGAGGCTAAAGAAATTCCATGCCCAGGTGTATTCAGCCTTTTTTATCACATTTCCGGTGGAATTCTGACTGGAAAACTTTTTCAGTGTAGTTTTCCACTTAAAATGGTCATGGAGGAGCCATTTTTCAGAACTTCGAGTAGAAAAAAATCAGAGTCTTATCTAATTGGTTTGTCTATCAAGCAGTGTAGGCCGGGTTTGTTTAAGTTGTGTCCGTTTTTTCGCGCGAGCGTTTGAATAAAAAATTGTTTACGAACACAATTTTTGCTTTCAGTCGGATTGAGGTTTTCATCTTCATAGCACAAATTAAAATTTCGTCAGTATAACATAAATACACACTAATACAGGACAAATTATTACTGATATTTTAGGCTAATTATGCTTGATAAACAATAATTTCTACGCATTTTCTGGACGTGATAAGCAGTTGAAGCTGCCGTAGGCTTCTGTGACCTCCGAATAAAAACGCTCGCTATAAACGCCATTTGCTGGCAAATGGCAAATAGCAAATTTTGAAATGGATAAATAATAAATTTTCGCTTTTATATGTAGGTAAATGGACTAAGCTGCTGCTAACTTTCTTTGTGAACTGATTTATGTCGAAAATTAAATAAAAATTGAACTACCCGTTACACGTGCGGGTAGTTCTCGCTACCCGCAGATAACGGGTACCCGCAAGAATCGTGCGGGTATGCGGGTAACGGGTACCCGACCCGTTACCCGCGGCAACCCTAGAAAATACTACATTCGTAGGAAATTAGATAAAAAAAGAGACCAGTGTGTCATCCTTAAGATGGCGATAAGATGCCAATTTACCCATTGGCAAGGTTGCCCATTTTTGGTTAATGCCTACACGAACAACCTTACTGTAACATTTGCACTGGATTTTGACCGGAGAAATTTGTGTCTATTCATGGACAAGATAAGCATTTTCTTCAAATGCAAATACACAGGTCGGACCGCACATATGTACATACAATTTTCAGGCAAAACTTAAAGCTTTTAAAATAATATAACTTCAGGTTTTTGCACTTGTTTCTAGGTTAGAACCACATTCGAAGTTTATTCGAAAATATAATTTATGCAAATAGAAATTTGAAGTTTGGAGTACTAATTTATGAATTAAATACGGAATCGCTTAAAAAGTTATAGTGGTTAAGTCGCCGTTATCGCGGTTGGATACGAACCCATGACTACCTGCTAATAATTTATGTAGTTTTTTAAATTCATTGCTATTAATTTTGTTGATTGTTTTTGCAACTTTTTAAATGTGTTATTCCAAACAACTAGTAAAATTCTGTCAAAAATTATCAAATAGTTTTTCGAAATAATTGCAGGCCTTACTTTTAAGCATGAATGTTATCAATTTTGTTTAAATAGCATCAATATGCGAAAAATAATAGCGTTTAAAAATTGAAAATGGTGACGAAAAACCGGTTTTTAGAATTGCCAAAACCGGTTTTCGGTTTCACTGAAAACCGGTTTTTCTCCGGTTTTTCCGGTTTTGCAAAACCGGTGTTGAATCCCCTAGTGACAATGGACTTCGTCATTTGCCTAAACGTTTTGTATTTTTACCATGTTTACACACTCTTAGAAAATGTGTATTAAATTCTGACTGACCGGAGAACGTATAATATGACTCTACCGGCCCTAGTAGCAAGGGGTGTTAACGTTCAGTAATGCTGTGGTAACGTAACATTTACCACTCAGAAACAAACTACTACCAATTCGGCAGGAAGTTATTACCAAGGCAATACTAGTAATGGGTGTATGTGACTAACAAGGGACACTCACGACCTGTCGTTTGAGTCCAGGGTACCCACCATGTTTTTTAGAATCTACTAGGACCCCTGATGAAGGATTCATTCATATTTCCGTGTAAAACTCATATTTGGCCCAATGGCGTGGGGCCAAACTTAAAAATTTGCATTTTCGAACAATTTCAAACCCCCATAACTTTTGCAGTTTATGTCGGATTTTTAAAATTTTCTGCTTAAAATGATCAGAAAAGTCGAAATTTTAGAGAAAAAATAAAAATAAAAAATTGTAATTTTTGAGATATTTTTTAGCATTTTTTTGACGAACCCGAAATTTCGAAATTTTGCGAAAAGTTAAAAGCGATAATTTTGGAAAAAATTTCATAGAATACGAAAGTTGAACTCCTTGTCATGATTTTTGCCAAAAATTTTGAAAATCCGTCCAGGATTTCAAAAGTTACGGCGGTTTTAAAATGAAAAACCTTCAAATTTGGCGAATTTGGCGCCACGCCATGGCGCCAAATATAAGTTTTACACGGAAATATGAATGAATCCGTCATCTGGGGTCCTAGTAGATTCTAAAAAACATAGTGGGTACCCTGGACTCAAACGACAGGTCGTGAGTGTCCCTTGTAAGAGATTTTTAACATAGTTCCGAAATTATATAGACATCGATCTATTTCTCATCTCTCCTGTCAATTGTCAGAAAAATGCGAAATATTTACACGGGAAGAATAAAATTTGAAAAATTCAATTTTTGACTCACAGATAAGCTCGGTATAGCTGTACCAGCAGTAGACAAGGACAGTGATGTGGTGGTACCAGTGGAGGAAAATGAGCTTCTGCTTCCTCAACACGATAAAAACCGTGTCGCCCAGCTCAACCGATTTCGACATGATGAAAAGAAACAGCCACAACTGGAACGCCTTGTTGTGAGCCCAGCTAAAACGGGACAAGAAAATTTGAAGATTAGGGGATGTTTATAAATTATGTAAAGTCAAAATACAAGGTTTACGTCGCTTTCCAAACCTCTCCCCCTTTCGGGAGCGATTCGAAATGGAATTTTCACACAAATCCTTCGCACCCTAAGAAGCGTAACGTAATTTGAGAACGTCCCCTTACTTCCGTGAATTTTAATGTAGTTTTCATGAAAATGTGAGACTTGGATAAAAACAGATAAAAGATTTTGAAAAAAATGAATCGAACTATTTTACATAAAAAGTAAATTTCTAAAATTCACAGCCAAAAAACATTTGACACTTATGTAATATAATTTTAATTTATTCAGTCAAAGTAAAAAAACAAAAAAGTATGTACCTATGTAATGAAAATAATATCAAAATAAAAATATTATTTTAAAAATATGAATATGATAAATTTTTTAAACCAATTTTAGTCAAAATTTTGAAACCAATTTTACAATACATATAAAAACGTAATTAACATCTCACCTCGTGTGACAAACGGAATAATGAAATCCATTTTCAGCCCGGTTTAAAACAAACCAAAGTTCCGGAACGGTACGAATCGCTCCAAAAATTGAGAACAGAGCCAACCCCAAGTTCCACAAGATCATTGGTTTCGTCAGCTGGAATCGTGCCCTTGAGCGCATGACCTTTTGACCCACGACGAGAAAAGTAAGGTAGGCACCCACCAAGTAGAAACTGTTCGTCCAGAATCCATCCATCCAATGGACAGCCTCTACCGGATCGAAGGCATGTTCGAAATAAAAAATACCCGGATACGGGGGCTTGACAATAACTTCGGTTTTATTGGGAACCATTGTGTCCAAAATTTCCTATCAAAATTTTGACTTGCTACTGAATTTTGAAACAATTTCGGGAAATTTAATCTTTATTAGGAACCGAATCTAAGTAATTTTGTTGGCAAGGAAACCACGACTAAATTGATAACTAAGTAGTTTGCGTGAGAACTCACGCTGTGTGGTCGTGCAACGCTGCATTAATGGAAATAAGGTAGATTTATGCAAATATTGGGAACAGGGTTCGCAAACATGGTTATTTTGTGTTGCTATTTTTTGCACGTAGACTACATTCGTGACGATTACTACGTGACATAGTAATCTTGGTCATTCGAGGATCATGCAGATTTATCACGATTGCGAATAATTCAATCAAACCAGATCAAATGCAAGGCCTATATTTACACTGTTAGAAATCTGGCAGGTATTGCTTTTTCCATATTTAAGTTGCTACCGTTTATTACTAAAATTATACTTGTCCGTAAAAATTTGCTACCGATCGACATGGTAAGACTTTAATACCGAGACTCGGTAACCGAGTTATTACTATATACACGAAATTACATATTTACATACATACATACTTATCAACAACATTTTAATAGAGGTATATATCAATACCATTTGGTATTAAGTATTTTGACACTGGATTTCGGCAAGTCTGTAAACAAAAACACATTCTACTATGCACAAACACATCATCAATCACACAATTTGTGACACCCTGTCCTGGAAAAAGTGGTACATCGGAGTATTGATGAGACAACTCATAGGCATGTATTTAAATATGATAAGCAAAGCAGATATTACCATGCGAGTCGGGGACTCGTGTTAGACACTGCTTTAATCTCATACATGTAAGCAACGAAAAAATTGAGGCGAATTATATAATTTGTCCCTATGTATGATTTACTCTTTGAACTGGAATCGAACCACGGGTTGAGACTGAACTTTGTATGGGCGGATTGCATACATACATATATGTACTAATTTAACGAAGGAGGGTACACATTAGTTAATGTTGCAGAGTAATGTTGTGTGATATGGGATAAGAAACTCATTCATAAATATGTAATTTACGTAATTGTGGGAACCATTTACTGGATGCTCGTATCCATGGAAACGTATTATGTATGTAAATGCTTAACCCGACCGACACGAACTTGTTGTTACCGGTTATGATATTGAGTACACTATAAAAAACTTGGTGTTGATCGTCACCAAACGGGGAGCCCACATGACTTAACCAAATTGTGATAATGTTTTACCCCACATTGTGATAAATCTTCCCCACAATGTGTTAAATCCTCACTATCTAGTGCTACGTTTACACATTGTGGGGAAGATTTATCACAATGTGGGGTAAAATATTATCACAATTTGGTTAAGTCATGTGGGCTCCCCGTTTCTCCCCGTTTTGCTAAGAGTGTATCGGTTTAGTATAATTTACTGTGCATAAACAGCGAAGATAAAATACCATCGTTACCAGATTGGTAACAAGACAATGCATTTTTGGTACCGTTATCAGCATAAACCCTACCTCGCTTATTCTATGTGAATGTGAATGTCCCCACGGCTTCCGGGGCCACTGAGTTTTACACCATCAGCCATACGACCCTTCTCTCGAATATGTCGCACGGTTGAGTCAATGAGCTTTTTTATTGTTAGATATTATTTTTTATAGTTTTTATTGTTTGGTACTATGTTTTTATTATTTTTAGGCCTTTTAAGATGGCCTTATAGATTTGTCAGGATGTCTGTCTGTCCGTCCGTCTCTCTGTACGCACGATAACTCTCTTTAAAGAAATTCTATCGACTTGAAATTTTGTACACTTGATCTTCGGGTCAAAAGTAAGGATGGGTTCGAAGATGGGCATGATCGGTCAAGTGGTTGGCCGGTGGGGGTCTTTTCCACCCAAATGTGTTGTTATTAACTACCAAGATGGCATTAATGCCATCTTAAAAGCCCCCGCAAAGTTGCTTGGAGTAGGTTTTTTATTATGCGAACGAATTTTCGAAATTCCAAAACCAACTTCATAGTCCCAAAGTATGCAGATACATAGGTCAATAAATTTACAAAATTTGTCTATTAAATCACGCCCCTTTGGTGGAACATACTTATTTTGCTTACCCCAACTTTGGATAACTGATCATCGTTGGGGCCACGTAAAATCACATGGTTTATCGGGTTGCCTTACATTTTACAAGACTGTTGCTATGCATAATATTTACAAGTGTATATATTGAATTTTGATACCCTTAAGGAGGCCAACTAATACAGATGTGCCAGGATATTTCTAAACATTAAGATCCATACATATATAAATATGTAGCAAAACATGACCTAACCATGTCTTCAGAGATTAGTAAGTGAGATATGATAACTTGTGTATCATTATCATTGATATGCAGCAAATTTGCTACATGCATACATACAAATATTGCGTAAGGTCATGGTGACCCTTTAGCTAAATATGTTTAAGCAGATACACATTTAAATATGTATGTAGGTGCGAAAAGGCGGGTATATGTAAATATGTACAGTCAATGGAAAAAGTATTGGCAACCCCCACGCTAGCTAAATAAAATTGGCAATAACCTTGGAATGCATTAAACAATTGGCATGAAAATTTGTATGTATTTAGCAAATATAATGTAGTTTTCGATTATAATCATGTTTTATGGATTAAAATTAGATAAACACAGTTTTTAAATAATTTGTTGGAAAATTTGCAAAATTAACCCGCACAAAGTATTGGCAACCCTTAACTTTAAAAGTCATTATCAAAGATACGGCAATTTTGTTTCGATAAACTGCTTTGAGTACCGCGTAGCACCTCGCCTAGATGCAATAAGAGCAGAAATACGCATTGGAACTGACTCGACAAATTTCTTTATAACGCTTTTGGATATGGCTTCCCAATCTTCTTTCGAACTTATGACAAGCTCGTTTTTTGTAGAGCGATTTCCCACCAGTTTCTCTTTTCCCATCCCGGACAATCAGAATCACATCGGGAGACTGTGCAGCTAACGAAAGAAGCTTAACCTTTTCGGTCTCCAAAAATGTGCATCGTTAATGTGGATGCATGTTTTGGGGCCACTGCATTTTTGCAATATGAAATTACTTCCTAGGTCAGGTTTTTGTCAAATGTTTTCAAATTATCGTTTCGAACGATTAATTAGACCTCATTGGTCATAACTTCATCGATAATAACCAGCTAACTACGCAACGACCTAGTCATTCAACCCCAAACCATAATCCATCCTATTCCGAGCTTGACTCCCAGACGGCAGCATTCATTTTTGAGAGCCTCATTTTGCATCCTCCAAACTCAAACCATCCAACCCGCACCGAATAAGCTAAATTTACTTATGTGAGACCACTAGACCCTTCTTCATCAATTGGAAGTCTATTTAGGATGGTATTTAGCTGATTTAAATACCATGAGTTGGTTTGTTTCGGGAGCCTTCTCTTTTATGGGGCTACTGGACCCTGAAACCCCATGGCGTGATTTTTGATTGATCACCATATTGTATGAAATATTGACTCCACAGTTGGTTCTCAAATTCTAAGTGGTTTTGGGTGTTGAAATCTTCCGATTTCAAGTAATTTGTTGCTTAATTCATTATTTGCGTTTAGGCGTAGGTAACTTTTTTTCTTCCGCATCATGGAAAAGCAGAAACTAAAATTGGTATTTTATATTTGTTGGCTACATTTCCAATAGTAAATATGAAAAAGTATGTTTTCCATTGATTTTTCGATACCCAACTTTTTTTTGCGAAAAAGAAATGAATATTTCTCACCGCACCAAATACAGCTCGTTAGGTGTCGCCATTTTGGTTCCAGAAAACACAACTGCTGACTTAAAATGTAGCTATCGTCATATTTTGTCACGTAATAAACTTACCGTAATGAAATGTGGTAGGTCATTAAGAAAGTTGTTTCGCGTAATTAATTTGGCCTCATGTTGCCAATACTTTTTGCGGGTTAATTTTGCAAATTTTCCTATAACTTATTTAAAAACTGTGTTTATCTAATTTTAATTAATAAATCATGATTATAATCGAAAACTACATTATATTTGCTAAATACGAACACATCTTCATGCCAATTGTATAATGCATTCCAAGGTTACAGCCAATTTTATTTAGCTGGCGTGGGGATTGCCAATACTTTTTCCATTGACTGTACATACTCGTATACTAGCCTATAAACCCGTCCTCAAGACGGGCCACATGAAATTTTTTGCTAAGGAATTTTTACGACGTTACCAAGGAAATATTTTTATGTTGCTAGGGAATTTTTTTGACGTTGCTTGGGAAATTTGTTTATGTTGTAAAGGATCATAATCATAACCATAATCATGATCATAACCGTAATTATAATCATAACCATAACCATAACCATAATCATACGCATAATTCTCTGATTGGGGCAACAAATCAGAACGCTCGGATGTCACGATACTTAACGGGACGGACTTTTCGAAATTATAATATATGTAAATATGTGCATAAGCTATTTCATAAACTTGCCTGACATGAAGGTGAAGACATCCTTCGTGCCATGGACCACTCCATTGCAATGGAGGGAGTGGAGAATTTTCTCCAATGCATTGGAGAAAATATCAAAATACATATCAAACTACATATCCATCACATTTTATATACACGACCCTTTACATGTTTGTATGTAAATTCGTTCCTGTGAAAATGCGTTCCCATCCAATAAGCTAAAGAGATATATACATACATATTTACTTACTTACCATTGCGTTTTAGTACTATTCACAAGTCAGTATCAAAGGTTGAAATGTATCGCGACGTGTCAATCGGATCCACATGATCCAGTTTAATAATATCGTGTGGGGCCCAGAACGTATGTGGTAGATTTTGACCTCAGAATCTTAATTGATCCTAAGGTTCCATTAGTACGAGAATGGTGCAAATACTTGGACAAGAAATTCACCATAAAATGACGACATCCTTACTACACAGCCCTCAAGAGTCCCTCCCTTCGCGTTGACTAAAGTCCATTAATCATATTGTCCGGTTATGTGGGGGTCATGCAGGCATCTCAAAGAGCAAGAAGCACCCTGTAAGTCAGTGTCTAAATTATTATGTTAAGATTACCACCTACATTTTCATGTCACCGATTTCTCCACAAAATGCGTGAATGGCCCCTGTATAAATTTGTGCAAGTCAGTCTTCAATAATCGCTTATCGATTTGTCAATAAAACACTTGGGAAATGGTTTAATTAACGTGGATCTGGACTTTTGATCTCATTTGTCACCAAACAGCTTACATTTCATCATCACCTGGTGGGGAAAATGACACCGAAAATTTGCATAATCGGGGCTGGGTAAGTTTCCCGGAAATATATTATATTTGGGTAATGTGTATCGTCGTTAATGTGAGATTGATTTGTTTCCAGTTTTTCCGGTATTGCGGCCGGAGTACAGTTGAAGAAACAGCTCAATATTGACGATTACGTAATCTTTGACGAAAACGAGGATGTCGGGGGGACCTGGCTGGTCAACAAGTATCCCGGGTAAGAAAAATAGAGGGTGGTGGGTAGGGTATGATTTCCAGCAAAAGTTAGTAAAATTTGTCAAGATGACATCCATTTGTAACATTGGGCGTAAATCGTGGCTGCCACACCCTCTTGGTCCGTTCGTAACATTATTAATTAATCAAATAGCCAGAGCAATTCATGAAATTTGTACGCAAATTCTCAAATTTGAGAAAAATTTGAAAAAATAATCTTAGTTATCCGAATTTTTGCAAAGTTTTCATAAATATGTAGGAACTTTTAAATCTTTATATCAAACAAGGGTGCATTAATTCAACTTACTTTCGAAATTTATTTATTAAAAATTGAATCTTATATACATATGTGTTTCGTAAATACAATTTATGCAAATTTTTCCTGTGTGTGTTCAAACCATAACATTTTTAGGTTTTTATACCCACTTAAAACTGTAAATTTTTATAGGTGTGCCTGCGACGTGGCGTCACATCTGTACAGCTACAGCTTCGAACCAAATCCAGGTAAAACAAAATAACAAAAACATACAATTAATTTTATTGATTAATAAACAAATCATTAATCTTAATTAAAGTTAAATAATAATTAATTGTGAATTTAAAATTATAGATTGGTCATGGGCGTACTCTCCACAACAGGAAATTTGGAGATATCTCCAACGCGTCGCAAAAAAGCACGACTTGTACAAAAACATGAAGTTTTCGCATAAAGTGAACAAAGTCGCGTGGGACGAGACGATCAACAAGTGGAGGCTTGTGGTTACAAATACTGTGACAAATGATAAGGCTGAGCTTATCTTCGACCTGATGTGAGTTTAAATTATGGAACGCTGTATAAATACAAAATCTGGTGTAGTCACGCATGCATTGATTTATCGGTATTAAAATTGCTACCGCTTGGTATTAAAATTATGCCGGTCCATAAAATTTTGGAAAACTTTAATACCGCGATATTTTTTACTACACGGTATTATTTATCAATACCATTTTGGTAGAGTCATATTTGAATACCGCTTGATATTATTTTAATGCTGGATTTCTAAGAGTGTAGCACAAATTCCACGTAAGGGTCAACTCTAAATTTTTAATTTGGCGGTAATTTTAGAATAAGCGGAATTGGCGGGCTTCGTGTGCCTCACACACCGGAAGAATTTAAGGCCTTTACCGGAACCAGGATTCACTCGGCGGAATGGGATACCAGCGTAAAACTGGAGGATAAGACAGTCGCCGTGATCGGAAGTGGGGCCAGCGCGGTCCAAATCATTCCGAACATTGTGAAGAAAGTTAAGAAGCTTATCGTCTACCAGAGGTGCGAAATTTAACAAGGGAGGTGTCTCAGCACATGCTCTCGGATTTTGACGAAATTAGTTAGTGTCAATGGATCCCAACTTTAGTTAACAGCAAATTTGCCGATTACACTATCTTCAAATTCGTACATATGTTTGGCCGAAATATTTGCAGTGGAAGTACATATTTCAGAAAACTCGCAGTAAATTTAAAACTAGGAAAACTTGTCAAGATTATGACCCATTTCTCCTTTTTGAATGCAAACATCTCCACCAGACTTAAGAATTGATGGATATCATTAATTCCAAATTTGATATTAATCCAATTTGTGATCGATTGACATTATTTAGACAGTTTGGTCAAAATCTGGATGGGAACTTTGCTAAATAATAACGACATAAAATTTGTTCGGCAATTACTGGTAGTTCAAAAAATTGAGACAACGGTACTAAAATTTTGTCTGTATTGTGTATAGAATCTGCCACGTAACCTCTCGGATTTTTTGTAGTGTATATAAATATTAATCTGACCCCCAATTTTTTACTACGTATTTAGACATCCCGCTTGGGTCCTGCCGCGGATGCAGTTCCAAGTGCCGGACTGGCTCAAGTGGGCGTTCGCCTCGGTCCCGGGCTTGCGCGAGATGTACCGCTCATTCATCTTTTTGTCGAACGAACTCGCCTACCCAACGTTCATTCAGGGCAGCCTGATGCAAAAGCTTGGTATGAACGAGGCAGCGATGGGCAATTACAGGATTAGTTTGGTCAGATTACGTAATCGGATTAAATTAGGTGTATTCCATAATCCAGAAATCAACAAGAAATTGAAAGCTTTAAATAGTCTGTTATCCGTGATACAAAAATTTGCAAGCTGCTCATGAAGTAATCCACGGAATTTTAATCGCACTACGGATTACATTATTGGATTAGTTTGAATTAGGATATTAATTTTTCCATGTTTTTAGTATACTAAAACGATAATCTGCATATCTGCGCCGATTAGTAAAAAGCACAATTTTTTTGTTATTACAAGAAATCATTCGTAGTCCGACAAATGTAACCTGTAATCTTTAATCCAACAGAGCAATATATTTTAGTCGTCCAAGATATATTAGACTTCAAGAGTAATCCTAAACACGCAACCCACATAAAATTTTAACAAGTTAATCTCTAATCCGTAATCCATCGAAACCCTTGGAATTGTCCATCCCTGTAAATCATATCTTGAAACATATTAAGATAACGAAACTAAAATTTAACTAAAAACAGGTGCCAAACTTGGGGATCACTATTTGAACCGGAAGTTTGCCGATAATCCGGCCCTATTGGAAAAAGTGAGGCCAAATTACGAACTCGGGTGTAAAAGGATCACACCCTCGAACGAGTATTATCCAGCCCTTGCTCATCCAAATGTTGAAGTTGTGCGGGATAAAATCACAAAAGTCGGGACGAATTCAATCACCACGGAAAACGGGGATGAGAAAAAGATAGATGTAAAATTTCGAAATTTTAATGTTAAAGTATGAATAAAGTACTAATTTCGATTTATTTTTTCCCTCAGGTTTTGATTTTAGCAACAGGATTCAAAGTCCAGGAGTTCTTTTCCCCGCTGGAAATTCGTGTTAAGGGTGGCATGGATTTGATGGAGCTTTGGCGGGAGAAAGGACCCTCTGCCTACATGGGAATCTGTAGTTCCGTGGCGCCCAACTGGTTCATGCTTTTGGGACCAAACACTGTAAAAATAGAGTCAAATCCTATAATAACTAGTCTACTTGCCCTATCTAATGCAATCTTTCGATTGATGGTTAATTTTTGGTTCAACAATCTAAGACTCTGCATACTATCTGCAGCCAGAATCTGGCTGCGGACCATATGCAGTTTGACTGCCAGATTCCGGCAGAACAGTTCTGAGCGAATCTAAAACCGGAAAAATGAAAACCGAGCGTTTGACGAAAGTTTGCGAAAAATGTAAACCAGTATTTCAAAAAAATTCTGGTTTTGAATGCGATAGTATTCCCGATTTAAAAAAAAACCTTACACACATTTTATGTTGTATGAGTTCTTGTGATACAATTAACCAATTTTCGACACTTGCGTTTTGTCATTTCTCCCAAAACCGATCGATTTATAAGGAACCAATGGCTCTTTAAATTGGGGAGACTCAACTTTGCATAAAAGTTCAAGTGACACTGCGCCTGCCAAGCTGCTATTTTTTCATTTTTTGTTATAAAATGAGTTACTAAAACTTGGATTTTAGTTTTAAGCAAAAAAAAATAGAAAAATGCATAAAGATTGATGCGGTGAGAATTTGAAAAGAGCGAAAAAGCTGTTTTTTTTGGTAAAGTTGGGCATCCCTATTAACTCATAGCAACGTATTCTCATAAATTTTTGAAACCCGCTTAAAAATTCTTTCCTATTTTCAGGGTCTTGGTCACAACTCGATCATTTTCACGATCGAATGTCAACTAAACTACGTGCTCCAAGTGATTAAAGAAATGATTGAGCGTGACTCGAAGGTCGTTTGCGTAAAGGAATTCATCGAGCAGGGCTACATGGTGGAAATGATGGAAGATATGAAGCCCATGGTTTGGGGGACGGGGTGTGCCTCGTGGTACGCCGATTCCCGCGGGGTGGTCACAGCCCTCAGCCCCTACACCCTCATGACCTGCTGGAGACATACGAGAACCTTGAATGAAAACGATTTCAATTTCAATTGATTGCGGGAAATTGTATTTTTAGGAGGGAATTTTTAGTAATTTAGAAAGGCGAATATTTATCGGATGTTTACACATATTTACGAAATATGTTTCCAGTGAGTTACACAGAAAGTAATAAAATATTTATTGCAAAAAAACTCTGGTTAATGTGTTTCTTTAGCGAAATAGAGAATCAGAACTACTTATTCATACTTTTTCCTACTGACTCGAAATAATTGCTTATTGACTTTGTACGTCTGTGTGCCAAGGAAACGCACCTTAAAGTTTACGAATTTTTCACTTTCTACATAAATTTACTGCACGGTTTTTCCTCTTCGAGTGCAAATATTTTTGCCAAACTTACTGATTGACAGAGAGTGACTTTTGCAAATTTCAAAGTACTTAATTAAATTTTGTGTGTTCAGTAGTTACAAGTCCTTTACTTATACAGAGATATAAATAACTTTGCTTGCATTTCTAATTGGAACGTAATAGTTATTTAATAATCCAAAAATTTGGAGGAAATACATACTGGTCTTTTTCTGTCCTCTGAATAAGACGAATTTAGGATTAGTCGACTCCATTACATACATATTGGAATTTACCTTGTAAAGCACTATATAAACCAAACATGCATCAAATAAAGTCAGTATCAGGATTATTCTCTCATACAAAAAATACATGCACAATTCATTTCGCATGGAACCTTTTCCTCCCATTTAGGTAAATATCACCAGCATACATTTACACTAACAAGGGAACATACCGAGGTGTCCAACGAGTTAAGGGTCGACACCTATACCAAAATGACCACAATACATGACTTATTAAACAAACTGAAGGAATTTCCGTGTAAAATTCACTTTTCGTCACGTTGTGACGATATTTGTGACGAGCGCACGACCATCGGGTTCCCAGAGAGGGAAGGGTCGGCTGCTGAACGATCAGGTCGACCACAGAGAAGCGTCGTCTTCTTCACGTCGTCTTCAGAGATTTCAAATTCTTCAAATTTTGAAACTATTTTGAAATTTTGAAAAACTTTTTGAAATTTTGAAGAAATTTTGAAATTTTGAAAAAGTTTTGAAATTTTGAGGAAATTTTGAAATTTTGAAAAAGTTTTGAAATTTTGAAGAAATTTTGAAATTTTGAAAAAATTAGAGGTGTAAGTTATTTGAAATTTGAAATCTCTGAACACAACATGTTCGATGTGATCGTTCAGCGGCCGACCTGTCCCGCTGGCAATCCGAAGGTCATGCGCTCGTCACAAATATCGTCACAACGTGACGAAAAGTGAATTTTACACGGAAATTCCTTCAGTTTGTTTAACAAGTCATGTATTGTGGTCATTTTGGTATAGGTGTCGACCCTTAACTCGTTGGACACCTCAGTATGTTTCCTTGTAAGTGACTTCGATTGTTCGGTTTACGTATGAAAGACCTGCACTGTTAGCACATATATATACGAAATACATACATATTAATCAAAAGTAAGCTTCGTTCTAGGCAAACTTCCTAATTTCTAATGTAGTTTAAAACTTATCATTAAAAACTTCTCCAGTGACACGAATTTACATAATTGCTAAATTCGTCACTCTAAATTCCCCTTTACATAATATACAGTCAATTGGTTTTCGAGATTAAAATTAGCTCCATACATACATACATTGGGTAGAGTCAAGATGACACTCTTATTTAGCTATTTATGTTATCTATTAGATACACACCTATGTGAAAGGGTACGTATGTACATATTTATGTACATACCTACATGTCTAAGTATGCTGTACATAACGAATTTCATCAGTTTTCCTGACATGAAAGTCACTAAGGCATCCTCTCCAGTCACTAAGGCATCCTCTCCAGTCAAAGGTCACTCAATGGGGGCTAATGGCAAAATACGTGTATCTATCAAATCCTCTTTGCACGCCCCTTCTACATACGTAGGTAACTACATACAATTAAAATGCGTTGTCATCCTCTCTGCAAACCAAGGACGAACAAGTCCGTATCGCGACGTGTCATTTTCATTTACATGATGCAATCTATTAATACCGTATGGGGTCGAGGATAAAGTATGTATGTCATGAATTTTTGCCTCAGAGTATTATCTGACCCGAGTGTCACATTAACTCGCGAACGATACAAATCCTTGTGTAAAAATAATTGGACGACACCCTTATCGCACAGCCCCCACGAATCTCTTGCTTTGCGTTGCCTAAAGCACATTGTTCGGTTCTGTGGGTGCCTTGCAAGCATCTTAAGGAGCAAGAATCACCCAGTAAATTAGTTCCTAAATTATTATGTCGTCATCACCACCAAGATATTTGTAATGCCACCGATTGCTGCACAAAATGCGTGAATCGCACTCATATTAATTTGTGCAAGTCAGTTGTTCAATTATTTCTTATCGATGTGCCAATACAATTTGGGAATAAAACACTTGGGAAATGGTTTGATTGAGGTGAATCTGGACTTTTGATCTCATTTGTCATCTGGCAAGCAGGCTCCATTTCGTTATCACCTGGAGAAAATGACACTGAAAATTTGCATAATTGGGGCTGGGTAAGTTTGACAGAAACATATTATATTTTACCAATGTGTATCGTTGTTAATGTGAGACTGATAATTTATTTATTTCCAGTTTCTCCGGTATTGCGGCCGGGATTCAGTTGAAGAAACAGCTTAATATTGAGGATTATGTCATCTTTGATGAAAACGAGGATGTCGGTGGGACCTGGCTGGTCAATAAGTATCCCGGGTAAGAACTATAGAGGGTACATAGTCGGGTGGGGTATGATTCGGAGGAAAAACGAGTAAAATTTTTCAAAATTTTGCCCATTTTTAACATTTACCGTAAATACGGGGTGCCACACCCTCTTCGTTGTTTCGTTACATTATTAACTTTATCGAACTGCCTAGGCTTATCAAAAAATTTGTACGCAAATTTCCAAATTACATAGTTCAAAATTTGGAAAAATGGGATCTTCTTTGTACTAATTCTTGCAAAGCTATCATACATATGTATGTGAATATGTGGAAACTATTACGATGTAATGCCAATTAAGGAATATATGTAATACACATTTATTCTTAATTGGTGAAAAGCAGATTCTTGCTTAGTTCTTATTCTTATACAGTTTTTGGAAAGTTTTCATGCATCACAATAACAACTGTCACATTCTTACGGTTTTAAAAATAATACGTGGAAAGGAATATAAAGAAAGACAACATTAATACAAATTTGTGTAACCTTTGTGAAACAGAGAACCTTATTTCTGTATTTCAAAATCTTTGCGCAGTTTTCATATAAAAAAACTCATGCATATTTTTGTAATTTTATACAAATTAAAAAATGTAAATTTTGATAGGTGTGCCTGCGACGTGGGGTCACATTTGTACAGCTACAGCTTCGAACCAAATCCAGGTAAAAATACAGCCAAAAAATCATTAATTTTAGTAAATTGATTTTCTATTAATTTAAAATAATATGTAGATTGGTCATGGGCGTACTCTCCACAAGCCGAAATTTGGCGATATATTCAAAGCGTGGCGAAAAAGCATGACCTTTACAAAAATATAAAATTTGGACATAAAGTAAACAAAGCCTCATGGGACGAAACGATCAACAAGTGGAGGGTCGTGGTCACAAATTCCGCCACAAATGATGAGGCCGAGCTTATCTTCGACGTAGTGTGAGTTTAAATTTTGGAACAGTTTATGTATACATACGAGTTATGATGATTTTGATACCGATAGTTATAAGGTTATGACCCGACGGAAAAATTTCATTACCACTCAGAATCACAATTGTAAACAAGTCATATATTGATACCGGTGGTGTTGATTTGACAAATTTTTGTTTTGAGTGTACATAACTCTTAGACATCTGGATAGGTGCACAAGTATTTCTTCATAATAAAGCTTGCTACTGCTTAATACTAAAATTATACCGGTAGGTCCATTAAAATACGCTGCCAGTATTCTTAAACTTTAATTCCGAACTATTGCTACACGGTATTACTTACCATTACCAATACCACGTGGTATTATTTATATACCGAATTTCTGAGAGTGTAGCTTAGGTTTCACAAGCGACGGATAAATTTTGAATTTTATAGAATAACTGGAATCGGCGGGTTTCGGGTGCCCCACACACCGGAAGAATTTAAGGCCTTTACAGGACCCCGCATTCACTCGGCGAGGTGGGACACCAGCGTAAAATTGGAGGATAAGACGGTCGCCGTGATCGGCAGTGGGGCCAGCGCGGTCCAAATCATTCCGAATATTGTGAAGAAAGTTAAGAAACTTATCGTCTACCAAAGGTAACAAGGGAGGTGTCTCGGCGTATGCTCTCCCATTTTGACAAAATTCTAACGATAAAGGTTATGCTACAATGGGAGATGGGATGGTGATTTAAAGCGATAATGAATAATTTTTCCACCTATTTAGACATCCCGCTTGGGTCCTGCCGCGGATGCAGTTCCAAATGCCGGACTGGCTCAAGTGGGCGTTCGCCTCGGTCCCGGGCTTGCGCGAGATGTACCGCTCATTCATCTTTTGGTCGAACGAACTCATCCACCCAACATTCATTCAAGGAAGCCTGATGCAAAAGCTGGGTATGAACGAGGCAGCGATGGGCAATTCCCAGATTACTCTTGTCGGATTAAGTATCCTGATTAAATTACAGGGGTGGGACAGAAGAAGAAGCCACTTTGCCTAAATTTATTACGGCCTTATTATTCGTTTGTGAAGTTTGGTAATTGGTTCAGTGTGAAGCCCTTTAGTTTATCTAACGAGCCTCAGTCGCTTTTTCCAACCAGTCATGACCTTTGACACCATTTTCAGAGTGATTCTGCACCACTCGTCCTGAACACTTTTCCAAAGTCCATCAAAACGCACGCGTTTTCCTTTCAAGAAGGCTCCGTTTTAAGTACCCGAATCCAAAAAAAAACATCGGATTGATATCAGAGGAACTAACGAGAGTTTCTATAGTAGGAATAATTGTTATACCCAAACTTTTTTAAAAATCGTTCGCGTAGGCTGCTATTTTGTGAGAAATAAGTTGGGTTGAGAGCATGATCTCGGGATTTTCTACGAGTCACTTGCTGTAGGTCATTGTGAATTACTCTAGAAATGTTCTCCTACTAACGTTTAACATTTTCGCCATGCAACTTTTAGTTGGTGGATTTAGCGTTTTGGCGAAAAATTGATTTTCCGAAGAACTTTTTGGTTCAAGCGGATCTTGGGTATCCTTTCCGTGGGGGTGGAGCTCTAACCGCTTTTTCCGTCCGCTTGATTCCAACGTTTTTAAGTACATTAGAAACGTACTTTCGATCGACGATAAATCCATTTGCAGCAAATTTTCTAACAATCGCTCTCTGGCTCAATATGTCTTTGGAAAACACTTTTATGCGTGCCTCGCACTCTGGGGGGTGCTGTAGGGGCATTTTTAACCGTAGGGAAAATCTGAATAGTGCTAAATTTTCGTTAACTATCTGGGTATGACATATGCAAATTTTGAAAATGCCGCGACTGTGCATCACACGCCACCCCTAAAATTCAAGTGGCTCCTTCTTCTGTCCCAACCCTCTGTAGGCGTAACCCATAATTTAGGATGTAATCCAATAAGAAATAGTACACTCTAAAATATCTGGACACCTACTTTCAGGTGAATATGTCGCCATGGTAGTAAATTTATTACCTACCGGGAGTAAATTTAATACCAGTCTGGTAATACTTTTTACTCCATGGTTTTCCTTAATCATCAATGCGAATGCGGTAAAAACTGTGCTGTCTTCTGTAACAAATTACTTGTAATCTGTAAATAATCCAACCAAATTTTTGAAACTCCCGATCTCTGGAAATGATATTTTGAAACATGATAAGAAAAAGAGGATCAAATTTAATTAAAAACATTAACAGGCGCCAAACTTGGTGATCATTACTTAAACCGGAAATTTGCCGATAATCCAGCCCTGTTGGAAAAAGTGAGGCCAAATTACGAGCTCGGGTGCAAAAGGATCACACCCTCGAACGAGTATTATCCAGCCCTTGCTCATCCAAATGTTGAAGTTGTGCGGGATAAAATCACAAAAGTCGGGACGAATTCAATCACCACGGAAAACGGGGATGAGAAAAAGATTGATGTAAAATTTCGAAATTTTAATGTTAAAGTAGGAATAAAGAATTAATTTTGATTTAATTATTTCCGCCAGGTTTTGATTTTGGCGACAGGATTCAAAGTCCAGGAGTTCTTTTCCCCGTTGGAAATTCGTGTTAAGGGTGGCATGGATTTGATGGAGCTTTGGAGGGAGAAAGGACCCACGGCTTACATGGGAATCTGCACTTCCGTCGCGCCCAACTGGTTCATGCTTTTGGGCCCAAACACTGTAAAAACCTAGTCAAATTTTGACTTATACTTTGTGATTTATCACCAGAAATGTTTGTGTGGGGACTTATGAATGGACTATGTACAGGGTGGTTTAAATGTCACGCTACAATGGAAAATTTTTCAATGGGAAAAACCCCTAAATCTTCATTAGTTACAGATTTGGGATTGACATTTTTATTAACTTTCATCAAAACTTATGGAACACTGATGACAAAATTCTTGAAATGTTGAATTTCAGAGATAAAATTTCGGTAACTAATGGAAATTTACTAATTCTTCCCATCTAAAAATTTTCCATTGTAGCGTGACATTTTAACCACCCTGTATACGCTACTTCAAGCTACAAAAAAAAATTTGGACCCCACTAAAATATCTAACATTTTCAGGGCATTGATCACAGCTCGGGAATTTTTACGATCGAGTGCCAACTAAACTACATCCTTCAAGTGATCAGAGAAATGATTGAACGTGACTCGAAGGTCGTCTGCGTCAAGGAGTTCATCGAGCAGGGCTACATGGCCGACATGATGGCGGATATGAAGCCCATGGTTTGGGGGACGGGGTGTGCTTCGTATTACGTCAATTACCGCGGGGTCGTCACAGCCCTCAGCCCATACTCCCTTATCAGTTGCTGGAGACATACGCGCACATTGAATGAAAACGATTTCAATTTCAATTGATTTTGAGAAATTTTTATTTTTTGGAGAGAATTATTGGAAATTAAGAAACATTGATAGGTATCGGATATTTACACATGTTTACGAAATATGTTCTAGCGAGTTACACAGAAAGGAATAAAATGTTCATGCAAATAACACTCTTGCAAATGTGTTTTTAGCGAAAATGAAAATCAGAAGCAGTACTTATTCATACTTATTTTAAATAATTGTTTATTGACTTTATCGAATACTCTGTCCGTCTATCTGTCTGTCAAGAAAACGAACCTTACACTTGCGGATTTTACACTTCCTACATAAATTTAATAAGTGTTTTTTTCCTCTTCGGATGCAAATTTGTGTTTTGGTCAAACCTAGGCATTCACATACATACGTATGTACATTTCGCAACTTTGACAAATTTCAACTTAATTAAAGTTGTGATCGATGCACAATAAATATATTTAGACATAATTTAGTCAAAGTCTGTGGGCATACGCTGGGAAACCTCGATTGTGTGATTTGCATGGAAAAACCTGCATTGTAAGCGCGTATATGAAATATTAATTTACGAACAATAAACTTTGTTCTGATGCAATTTACAACCTATTGATAAAAACTTGGACGTACTTAACGTCTCCATTGACGCAAACCTATCTAATTGCTGAATTCGTGACCGTGAATTTTTTATTAACACTCCGTCAACTTGTTTTTCTGTCACGTTTTGAGTTCCTGTATTTTGAAGGGTTTGTGACATTTAAGCAAAAGGTACATGCATACATATGTAGGTCTCAATATTAAATGTATACGTGCAAACTTTAAACCATCATTGAAAGTAATTATGCCTTGCATAAATATTTTTAGAAACGTATTAATTTTTAATGATCTTTTTTCAACAGTAAACTGAACGAACTTGGCCCGAAGATGAAGATTATTCTCGTTATGATCCTTCTCGGGATGTGCATGAATACCCAGGGTAAAAATGAGACGATATCAAAAACTGGGAAGGTGGTTCATGGTAACGATTATTAACGAGTGGAACAAAGTTAATTGTTAAGAAAGGAGGAATTGTCGAGTATGTAATGTATGTAGTATGGGGAAGGGGACAGAGTTAAGTTGTTACATGTATATGCAATGCAAAGTCTCACATAGCCCCACCAATGGGGTATTGTTAGAAATGTCTCGGCAAGTAGATTCAGAATATATTACTTTCTGTGGTCTGCAACCACCCCTTGGATTTTGAGTGACCAAATTAAATTTTTACATAGGTTTGGTGGATAAACTGGAGGACATTTTAGGCCCTGATAGTAGCACGAGCACAAATACTTCTCCCGAAGTGCCACCTGGTCACAGCAATAACGGAAACTCTTCCGAGGAAGAGGATTATGGTAAGGAAACCAATATGAATTTCCCGAACTCGTTTTAAAATTTGAGTTCAAAATCACTTAAAAATACATAGTTTTCAAGTTAAATCTGCATAGAAAAAGTTTGATATCCCATCATTCCTTGGATATGCATAAAGTTAAAAAAATTCTACCAAATTAAATACCAAAGGGTGATTTTTCTGCTGGTGACGAATTTGTCGTTGAATAACCCGGGAACGGTTTGTCGTAGCGGGTCAAAATTTTGAACAGAGGAGCATGTTATCCTCAAATAGTTGTGTGCAAAAAAACAAATCTCTACTTTCAAAAATGCCTCCCCCACAGCCCCCAGAAGGTCAAACACTCATTTTTACTGTTTCCAAACTTAAATGCTCATACAACCGAATTACTAAGCATTTTAAAAGTGAATAGAAAACAGTTTCGAAATCTACAATCAATAAGGTATTGAAAAATATAGGTGAAAAGCGATAAATTTTGAGTAAAGGGCAACCACCACCCTCTGAAAGAAGGCAAAAAACGTGTTAATTCCGACCGTGCATAGCAAAATTGACCTATTGACCTCCAGAGACAATCGACCAACCCAAAAGGAAATTACCCGTAAGGTTGGGATATCTAAGCGTTCAGTGAAAAGAGAGATTAACATTTTTAAGAAACGACTTGGTCGGTAAAGTCGTGTGCATCAGCTGACCGAAAAACAGGAAAAAAATCGCGCCCGTGTTTACAAAAAAAATTATTAGAATTTTCTGTGAAGGAATAGGAGTGAGTTATTGGTGACATTTGACGAAGCACTAATTTCTCTACAAGTTACTATTTAGGTTCGAAGAGCTTAATACACGATAAATGCCTAAAACAATTCAAGCAAGTTGGTGCTTCCGTGTAAGGAGAACTTTTTTAAACAGTTGATGGTTGTGGGTGCAATGTCGGGTCGTGGTGTCCTCCCACTTATCAAAGTCCCCCAAAAAGTGAAGGAATCTGTAAAGTATTATGTGGACCGTGTACTGAAACCACTTTTAGAATAACATTTACCTAAATTGCACGGTAAAAAAATAATTAAGGTGATTTTTCATCATGACGGAGCGTCTTCCCAGACGGCAAAGTTGACCCACCATAATGCAAAGGACCTTGAAGCTGGATTCGGGATAACAATCATTTCGAATAGTGAAATACCTGTACAATCCCCCGATATAAGTCAAATGAACTTATTTGGGGTCGGATACTTGAAAACAAAAATTTTTCTGCGGAGACCGAATTTTTTAGACGGAGTTTGGAATAAGTAAAAATGAGTGTTTCACCTTCTGGGGGCTGTGGGAGAGGCATTTTTGAAAGTAGAGAGTTGGTTTTTTGCACACAACTATTTGAGGATAACATGCTCCTCTGTTCAAAATTTTGACCCGCTACGACAAACCGTTCCCGGGTTATTCAACGATAAATTCGTCACCACGTACGAAATCACCCTTTGGTACTAATGAGTGACTAAATTATGCATATTCCGATACAGATCATGTGAAGGATTATGTGGCCGATGGTAATCAAGTTGGAGTAGTAAATGTTAATGTCGAAGACTCTGGCAATGCCCCGACGGACAAGGACCCTTAATATCCGTGAAGGACCTTCATACAAAGATGTACTCCGGCCAGTAATGATTTAATCCCAGTTTTTCAACAATGTACATATGTAATTTAGCAAAATAATGAATTAATCAATTATTAATCAATTATTATTGTGTCGGGCATCAAATAAGAACTGTGTTTTAGTGATACTTTTCTGCCTTTTGTAAAATTTGTATTTTACTTTTTTACATCATAAATAAATACGTAAATATATACGAATTTCTTTTGAATATATACATAAAACTAATTAATACAGGTTTATGTAAGTCCTGACCAAGGGAAATACAGAAAATGGTTTAAAATTCGCGCATCTCGGTCAAATTAGTGCATTAAAAAAATGAAAAAATACGGATATGCATACTTTTTGCGGTGAACAAAATAAAATTGGTCCAAATATGTAAGATGTGAGTTTTACACGTAAAAGATTTGTAAGTGCCATACATACATATTAAGTAAACTATTCTGAATCCAGCTTAAACTTTACTCTTCAATAAATTAATGTTAATTTGGATTTAGTATACTCAAAATAAGGTAGTAATGAATCATTACCATGCGGAATGGCTATGTGTCTCTATCACGTCGGTTACAATTTGTCGTAGAAATGGTAATAATAATTTCAGGGAAATTCAAATTCATTACGAAGTATTAAGTATTTAAGTGAGTACCAGTATGTATTAAATTTGAATTTCCCTGAACTTATTATTACCATTTCTGCTACAAATCGTAACCGACGTGGTAGAGACACATAGCCATTCCGCATGGTAATGATTCATTACTACCTTATTTTGAGTGTATAGTTTGTTTAATACAGAATTCAGAGCGCATTTACTTTTTAAAAAGGAAGCATCATAGATATTTAACAGTGTACATATAAATACCTATACATACAGACTTTGTCCATCTGTCCGTCCGTTAAGAAAGCGCCTCCCAAAGTTTACAAATTTTACATACACTTTCTGCACAAATTTACTTCGCGCTTTCTACTCTTTGGTGATTTGCAAACATTTCGGCCGAACTTGCGCATTGACAGATCGTCCCTTTAAAATTTCACATTAATTGAATTTGTAATTGATTTGAATATGTGTCTTTTTTCAAAATGTGGGAGCATAATCGTTGAGAGTTTTACATATTAAAGACCTGCATTGTAAATAATACGAAATATTTATTTAGGAAGAATAACCTTTATTCTATTAACATAATGCAGTTTACAACCCATTGTTATATAAAAACTTGAACGTGACGTATGTATTTAAATGCCCGGTGACGCAAGTCTACCTGCTTAATTAATGACCGTGAATTTCTGATTGACATTCAAGTTAACATTCAGTCAATTACTTTTACTTTCAAATTTTGAAGTTCTGCATCTTAAAGGGTTTGTAACATTTAAGGAAAAAGGTAGGTCTCACTATTAAATGTGTATTTGAAAAATTGAACTAATCATCGCTTGCATAAATATTTTTATTTTATTTTAGCAATCTTTTTGCAACAATAAAGCGACCTTGGTCCGAATATGAAGGTTATTCTCATTCTGGTCCTTCTCGGGATGTGCATGAATATCCAGGGTGAAGATGAGACGATATCTAAAGCTGGGAAGGTGGTTCATGGTAACGATTATTAACAAGAATTAAAGAAAGTTAATTGTTAATTTAAATAGTTTTTGTTGAGTTTGTATGTAGTTTTGGGGAAGGCGACAGAGTTAAGTCGGAACAACGTTTTTAGAAACCCGGTCCGATTTCATTTCAAAAATATAAAATATAATCCGATCCGTTCTGTTGATTTCCAAAAATATCCGATCCATTTTATTGATTCCAAAAATATCCATTCCAGTCAGATCTGTCTTTTTATTTTCCAAAAATATCCAATCCAGTCCAATCTTGAACTAAGAAATATCCAATCCTATCCGTTTTTTGGGTTTAAAGATACCCAACCCAATCAGATCAGATCAGGCCTCGGATCATCCAAGAAAAGTTAACCCCCGACTAAACTCTGCACCGAATACAAATTGACAGTCTACAAGTTATAAAAAATGCAGATTTTACAAAATCAGTATGCAGAACTATGTCATTATTTCCAGAGCCCGCGCCTGCAAAAGGGTTGCTCCCTTGCGATGTTCTGACAGTTCAGGGGAAAGATATCCATGAAGGCTATTGCAGCTCAGTGAAGGACTGTCCTGCTACAAGAATTCCGGTTATGCATACAGTTTGTCCTAACGCGAGGCAATATTGCTGCATCCCATTGTAGGATGTTTGTACGCATTCTGGAAATATTACGATAAATTAAATTTTATCAATTTTAAATTTCTGATTATGTATCTACGTAACTTTTTACAAGCCGCGCCGATTTTTGATTTGATTTGATTTTTTCGTATAACGCTTTAGGTTATTCTAGTGTAGCTTTTAGTATTTGGCTAAATTTTGCAAAAAATGATGAGTGAAACACTGAAATACATTGTAAATATAAGTTTGTTTGTTCGTATGTGTGTATAAAATAATGCAATAAGTAATATATAAAATCCTTTGAAAAATAAGCCGTATTTTTGTAACAAATGTATAGAAATTGGGATAATAAAAGAAAATCAAAAGGTTCTGTATACGTACTTATTCATCGTTAAAATTCGTGGGTATATATTTACATTTTACTGTTCGCTTATTTAATAATTGGCATAATATTGATAAGTAATATTACATAATAGCTTAATGGTTGCCATAATAGTGCAATAGCCACGTATCATATCCCCGATTAGATTGACATGATGAGGCCGGTGATGGGCCCCAGCACATCAATCTTACGGGGAAATAAACAGAAACCAGGTAATACACGTTAAAAACTTATTACAAGAGACCAGGGAAGTTTGTTTGCCGGACGGGAATACATGCGTTACCTGACTACCGAACCACTTATTGCGTTGTCTTATAAATTTATTGTCTTGTCCCGTATTTTGCGTACCAGAAGTTAGGCTATTCACTTTCCGGAACCATTGTAATAAGTAAAGTAATCAGTTCCTCTTTATATAAATACATACATGTACTATTTGTTAAGTGAGGAATGCCGACAATTACAATTACTAAAGATGTATGCACATTACATAGTTTGGTACTTCAATCTCTTGACATTTTGTTTGACATTCTTCACATGCAGAAAAAATAAGGTGTGCCCAAATAGGTAAATAAATCATGCTCATGTTATCATGTGTACACCAATTATTTATTACTCCTTACTACTAACGAAGATCGGCGACAAACATGTCGGATATGTGCATTGTAAGTATTTATTTAATCGACTTTACACTCTACACGGGTATGGAACTTGGTGGTGCACGCATACCGGGTCTTGGTCAATTATATGGATGGAATTGTCATTACAGGTATGCACGTATAATGCAGATACCTAGATGATAACAGCAAGTGTTGTATCACAGACGAGGTTGTGTAGCTGCATACTTTCTGTGCTGAAATTGTAAAAATTCGGTATTCAATTCGAGCATTATATTCTGAAGAGAGATTTCCCCAGTTTTCGGGGATTATTACACTCTTAGAAATGGGGTTACGATTATAACCAAAAAGTAAAAGTATGTGACTTTGCCGCAGTGGTAATAAATTTGTCATCAAGTGGTTACAATTGTCACCGACTAATTATAAAGTTTCACTGACTTGGTATTAAATTGTCACCAGAAATAATAAATTTATAAACAGTTGGCGACAAATTCATAACCACGGCGGTAGAGTCATATACGTTTACTTTTTGGTTACAACCCCCTTCTAAGAGGGTACTTGATTTTTCTCAGCAAAATTGCTAAATTGTTGTTAGTAAGCCATTTATTCCTTGAAACTGCCGTGTGGTGTACCCATGCAATGTACTACTTTTCCCATCTCACGCCAATACACCTCATCATGCTTACCAGTTATTACTCGTCAGTAATATGCACAAAAATTAGTAGTAACCACATACTGAATTTGCGGCAGGAATCTTCCATCTTACAATTTGTCGCTAAATTTCCTCACTGTGGGGAAGGAGTAAATCTGGTCGCTCCTCGTGATGGTAAGGGTTTGATTTAATAGATAAATTTTTGGTATTCATCCATTGCAAAAAAGTTTGCAAGTTTGTAAAAAATTGTGCATACAATTATTTTGCTAAACCCGCCAAGAAAATTTCGTTTAGGCCCGAATTTTTCCTCTAAGATTGTGCTGTCATGTGAATATGCTAACTCGTAATGGATACCCTAATTGGAATTAAAAACACTTAATTACTAATGACTTTATTTTCTAAGGTGTGCATTTTAATTGGGAAATCGTGCAAACCCTAGAAATAGTTTCGATAACAAGCAACCACAAATTTCTTGGTCACAACTTAACCCAAGCCTCGCAAAACTCAGGTCAAGTCGTCTGTTTCCTAATTCTTCCTGTTTGGAGTGAGTCTGAAGAAAAATTCGTAATTGATAAGGAAATCGTTGATAAGGTAAAATCAGAAAATATGAGTATTGCTAAGCACTGATAAGTATACAATACATGTTCACATGCTGTTAGGAATTTGGTGTGGTTAGGCAGATATTTATTTCTCGGTGTTAAAGTTGCTATTGTTTGGTATTAAAACTATATAGGTCCGAACAAATTTTCTACCGATATGTTAGAATTTTAATACCGAACAATTACGGCATACATTATATTACTTATCTATCAAAACCACTTTGGTAAAGTCGCGAATGAATACCATTTGATACTATTTTGCTACTGGATTTCTAAGAATGTGTCCATCCGCATATATTTAAATACGTACATATATGTACAGCTATGTCTTACCTTCCACAGATAAGCACGGAATTTGAGAAATATAAAATACTATGGAAAATTCGAAAACCCATCATTTTTTTCGTCTTACTCGGAATTAGACAACATCTACCCAACGTATCGTTCCAGCATTCCATTCTTCGCCGCTTATTTCCTAACACGACAAATTTTAAACTAAATTCGGACATTTACGCAATATTTGCCCCTTCCGTGCTTTCCTCTTTAAGAAAAATTTCAATCTGGGAAATTTATTCGGTTAAAAGCAACAAGTTCTATAGTAGAATACGAATTTCACATCAATTATATCCTGAAGGACTTATCTGGATGGATGGAAGGGTTGATAGACGGACAAACTTTGGTGGACTTGGACTCACCATTTCTGCTCGAGTAAGACTAACAATTTATAGCTTACACCCTTAAAAATTATGTTATGTACTTTTTGAAAAGTAACTTCACTCTGAATTAAATATTATGTAAAATACACTTGAGTCAAAGTAACATTGACCTGAGAAATGGTCGAGTTTGGTCTGGATTTTGTATGCTTAATTTACTTAATATAGAATTCAGGGTGTTTACATTTACTCTTCAAAGAGCTATTTTTAAGAGTGCATAAATAATCGTCCTGGTTACACTATTTATTTATTCATACAGATGGAACTGGACCCTGCCTGGTCTATAGTTGCCCCTGTAAATGGTAAATTAACCCTTCTTGGTGGAACGGCAGCTTATTTTTATTGGGATTTAGAAAAATCGCTAAATTGCACGTACGTACTAGTTCATAATCCAATACTTCTATTTCCCAACCAATTATTCACTTAAGGTATAACCTGATCCTTAAACACAGATTGGACATAATTTGGGGTCAGAATCTTCTCCTATTAAAAAATAATACGTTAGGCGGGAAGACTCTGGTCCAGCTTAATTCAGGAATTGCCGATGTTCCATTGAGTATGGCATTAGTTGATGAATTTCGTGCCAGAGGGGTTACATTCTTACAGCCGACATCGGTTACATTGTACGCACATATTTCTTTGCAAACATGCATTCATTACGTTTTTGGAAAGATCTCTTTAACTTTTTAGTGTGTACCTCTTCTTCCAACAACCGTCACAGAATTCTATGCGAAACATTATAATTGTCCCGTTAAAAGGGGAAGTTTGGGTGTGCCTCGTTTCTGTCTGGGTACTCATCCTTATCGCGATCAAGATTGGGATATACTTACAGAAGTGGACAACTAGCCAAAAAGTACTCTTCAATCCTGCGGGAAACCATGGCAACGCGGAGAGCCCAAAGTTTAGCCAAACTTCCATCGGATTATGGACAATTGCGGCCAGTTGTCAAAAATGTATGTTGAGTAGCTAGTGCATTGTTAGAAATGTGGTATAGGCACCCAGTATTGATTTCGTGGTATTAAAGTGGCTACCGCTTGGTATTAAAATTATTCCGATCCATAAAAATTTACTACTGATAAGGTAAAACTTTAATACCGAGCTATCACTATACTCAATTATCTATCAGTACTACTTTAATTGAGTCATTCATTAATACCGCGTGGTATTATTTTATTATCGGATTTCTAACAGTGTATATTAAAATCTCGAATAACTTTAATTTCACTAATGCTCTTTTTAGCATGGAATTACTCTCCAGAAAGTATTCCTCTCCAAATAATCTTTCTGTCGGGGTTATTCTGCAGTTTTGTGGTGCACGTGGCTTACACGGGTGCCATTTTATCAACCTTATCCGTTTCTTATCCTCCCGTTCAGGACTTTATGGATTTGGTCAATCAAAAATTTACCTTTACTGTGTACATCAAGAGCGACCCATTTCAGCAGATACTTAAAGTTTGTGGATCATTTTATTCAACTTTTAAACATTTATTGGGCTTACTCACGGCAATCTGCGAAAATCTCTCAAATTAATCATGGCCACATCATAACTTGCGAAGTGTTAGGTGATTTCCTGAAATATTTTCCGGAAAGCTTTTGCTTTTCTCTCAATTTACTCAAGAGATGGGAACGTTTTAATTTTGAAAACTCATTCCCTTTATTACATAAGTATTTCAGAGGACGTAAATAATCCATCCAAATAAACCAAATTAAAATGAGATAACAGTTTAGGATAACTTTTTACAGATTTTCCAAATATATGTATGAAGCCATATTTCGTGAATACGCTCATGGCACCAATTTTGTTTAGCTTCGCAAGTTTGTTACATGAGGAATTTGTCGTGAGTAGGTCCTATTAATTTAGTAAGGTAACTTTGTATGTAGCTTTACATAAATATGGATATAATTTATTAATCATTTTTTAGCACCTGATTTCCGTGCATAACCTTCCCCAAGAAATTATAAAGGTTGACCTACCCTCCGAGATCAGTCACCTGTTGGAGGGTGACCCACCCAAAGCTTTTCTCAGTTATGAAGACGTCTTTTACAGAACGGCGTTATACCTCAATTATACGAAAGCATTTGTCTGCCAGTCCTTAGCAAAGGTCGAGCTGAGTCGAGTTCCTTACAAAAGTGCGATATTTTTAAGGAAAGGATCCCCACTAACGGAAACACTAAATTATAAGTAAGTATTACACTCTTCGCAGCAATGTTAATCTTGTGAACAGTAAATGCATTCTGAAATTCATATTCTGAACTCGAAGTAAAATTGACAAACACCGGAATAAACTTTACTCTGGATTAAGTTAGCGTCGCTTTTGATCTATGTAATATAGTTTACTTACTATATGTAGAACTAAGAGTACATTTACATACTTTTTAAAAGGGTACCATTGCTTCTACGAGTGTACATAGTCCATAGAGTTAAGGATTAATTATGGGTTAATTTCAATTGTTTTAAATATCACAGAATAGTTCAGAGGAAAGAAAGAGGAATCAATTCACGACACGTTCGTCGCTACGAGAAAGAACATTTAATCCAGTGTAAGGACCCCTTTAAGAGGAGAAAGTCTCAAAGGGAGCCTGTCGCCCTGCGTCATCTTGTGTCCGCCTTCATGATCATAATTACTGGTTACCCTGTCACATTGTTGCTACTACTCGTTGAAGTGATTGGGTTCAAAGTGGATTAATTGGAATAAATAAATTCTATGTTTTTTTTTTCAAAACTAAGAATTACATATAACCGTAATATTTCCAAATCTTTGTCTGAATTTTCTCGTCTCACATTCACCAATTGAAATGCAGGCAAAATTGTATAAGAGTAAGAACCTCGCAACTGTGTATATACATACAATTGAGAATGGATCGCCAAACCGAGAAAAAATGAGATCTACGTTAATATGCTTACCATACTTTCTTAAAGCAACATTCTAACGTTCATATTCTTGTACATATGTACATATGCATGCAAATACGTCAAACTTATTAACTTGATCTCACAGGTACACTCGTAAAAATAATGTTATCTTCTTGAAAAGTAAATCTACCCTGATTCTAAATTAACTAAACGCTACAAAATTCATCTTTAAAAGATTCAAAGGGTAGAGGAAGGAAGAAGAGGTTTAAAAGATTTACGTATTTACGTAAATATGTACGTCACAAGTTTTAACTTTGTCCCATTCGAGGCAGGTATAATAGATAAATAATGTTTTTTGCAAAATGAGTCAGCCATGGTGGTATAGCAACAATTCTTAATTCGCAAAATACGTCTTACTCATTGCAACCATGGCTGGGATGTTATGTAAGTTAAGTTTTTTAACAGATATATGTATTTACATGCATGCCAAACAATCATCTCTCTACTGATCATTTCAGAAGCTTCGCACCGTGGGGTCAGACTGTATGTATAATTAATCAGTTAGCCACATTGACACACAGAGGTGGAATGGAATTGTAAGAAATTATTCAAGTTCATCTATGACAAAAAATACAGTTGACGACGGCTAGGGGGCCGTGCATACTTAGAGGAGGAACTCGATTTTTTGACGTATTTTCATACGTACCTATCGTACACAGTATCTTCCATGTTATAATTTACATAATATATATGTATATACCTACTCATTTTACACCTCATCCCAAAAGTTGACCACATCACTTTCGCAGGGTCCTACATTTATTGGCAAAATTATCAGGACAATTGTTCAGTTTTTTTTCTTGTTGAATGCTCAAATCTCACTATTTTTATTTCGATGTGCTTGAGCTACCATGGCAACAAGATGGTATATGATGCTGCATACGTGTATGTACATTATGCATAAGTATGATCATGTGTGAGTGCACATTTATCTGAACACGACATGAGCAGATACATAAATTTGGAAGGGAGAAGGATAAAATAGAAATTAAAATCGGAATTTAACGTCAAGATTTTCATGTTAAGATTTAGATACACGACGTATTCAAATACATAGATTATTAAACAAATTCAATTAATCGACCAAGAGTGCGCTATAAATAAGTATGAGTGGTAATTACATAGTTAACTATGTAGATACATATTATTAAAGCTTAATAATTTGACATACAGATATATATGTATATTTATAAGTGGTTGATCACCATAGCAGGATTACACGAATAGAATTGAGTATTTTACATACATATGTACATGCTGAAACATATATATGTACATATATATATATGTGTATATGTAAATACAAATATGCTTGTATTTACTTAATTACATAAGTGTTATGATCGATTTTGGGGGAATTTTAACAAAATTACCACATTAACATAATTATGATACCCTTCCTATCATTATCTAAATACATACAGTTAGCAGGAAGGTGGTCTGACAGCAACCATTTGTACGTCACATCTTTCAAGTACCATCCTTTTACCTGGATTTGTACACCTAACTTATTATTATGCAGGCTGCAACAAGATGAAATAATCGTCGCATTAAATAAATTAATAAATAAAATAAAATTTGTCATCCTCTCAATTCGCAGAAAATTAATGAATCAACGTCAACAATGCACACTAACCAACTCGTTTCTTCTCTTTTGTCGCTTCTTGATCAGTAAAATTTGTTATTGTTCTGCACAATAAAGATTGACTCATCGCAAATCCAGTATTTAAATGAGGTCTAGTTCACCGTGGTGAAGGGGCCGTACAAGAAAACGTCATCAATTTTATTAATTAACGTCAATTCATGTCAAATTACGTTTTTGTCCTGTAGAATGTTGTCCTAAATGACATGAAGTCCTCGTTTTTCGCTGATTTCTGATGACACAATTTTTGCACAGCCCCTCTCGCAAATTTACCTCGCGTCCTATAAAGTTACCTCGTCTCCTTGAAATTTGCACAGTGTGGGTCCAGGTGTTCTCAAGTAATTATCATGCCGTCCCAAGTTTTGTCTTACTTTTTCTTCGCCTCCACCTTAATTGGTGGGGTACTTTCCTTAAGTACCGAATTTGACCTGCCCTCCGCCCGAATTTACACGATCGCGGGTAACAATCGTCTCACCCAGTGGAACAAGGTTGACCCTGCGACGAGGGAGACGACGATCGAGCATGAGGACAAGATCCGGCTGGACTGTACAGCCAACTATGCCGTGCAGTGGATTTACACGGGCGACGGAATTCCGGCATACACAACGACGAATAAATACTCGAGGACGAATTCGCACGGGGAGACGACCTCGGAGTACATTTCGACCGTGGTGATTGATCCCTTGAAGGAACATCATACGGGAAGGTATCAATGCTCACCGGGAGAAGAAGTGGATCTGAGGACGTTCTTTTATATTTTTGTGCCAGGTGAGAAATTAATCGGTTAGAAAAAAGTGAAAATGAAAAACTGAGACCGAATTACCATTAAAATACATTGCAAAGGTTAGCTAATTTCATCTAAAAATGCGTCTTTTTGCACACTCATGAAGAACGTATACTGCATTTCATTAGTAAAGTGGAACTTAAGGCGGACCTCTACATATGTACATATTCTCTTATATTTTCATGCAAACAAATTGTTTCGATTTTAAGATCATTAGATTTTTTCACCTGGCAAGCTCATGATTCGTAAACATTTGTTTCGAATTTTGATAAATCATTGTTTACAAAAATCGAGCAGTATAGTAATTTTCGTAACGATTATGTAGAAGCAAATTTGAGTATGCAAAGTTTTTTATGGTGAAATGGGCATGGTTATTTTTCTTGAAAAACTTCCTCCAGAAATATATGAATCCCATGATGAATTACATCGAAACAATTTTGATTGAGACAATTTGCGAATGGAATGTTTACCATAACTCGCTTTTTGAAAGTTGAAGTCGTATTTTTATTTTTGAATTCCAGGGCAAAATATCTTCACGTCACTATCCGGACGGAATATCGTCTTGTCCAAGAACGGATCCGCGGTGACTATTCCATGCAAAGTTTCTCATCCAAATGCTGCCGTCACTTTGGAGAAATCCGAAGCTGTGAGAGAAGCTTAAATTCATTGCAGACTTTATTAAATGAAGACTTTCTTGAAATGTTTTTTTACTGTTTGCAGGGAAATCTTCGTCGTGTCCGAGTCCGAGCCGATGATGCTGTCACGTACGATCCAAAAATCGGTTTTACTCTGAAACTCAACAAGATCGAAAGTCCGGAAGGAACTTATGTTTGCACAGCGAGATTTGGCTCGTACGTTCGATCCGTTGAGTACAAAGTGCTCTCATACTCAGCCAATTATCAATCAGGTATGACATTTACTATATTTGTAAATTGCTTCGGAAAAATTGGCATTATTCTGCAAATTGAAAAAAAAAACTGCAGAACTAGATCAGTAAATTTGTGTGAAAATCCAGTATCTAGGTTTTGTCTCAATTTACAAATTGTCTTTATAATTTTGGCACAAAAAACCTTGTCAAGTTTGGCTTTATGAATTTTCCATTTTTTCTTTGATTTGTTGCTACAAATTTTGAAACACTCAAATTACAATTAATTCTTGCCATTTGTTCTTTGAGATTTTCAATCTTTGAAAAAAATGCTTTTTTATTCCCCTGAACAACTTCCCAATAAAATTTCAATTTTTCAGATCAAAGCATCCCTGCAAAGTTACAAAACAAGTGTAAAAAGCGATGTGGGGAAAACGCGTACTGTGACGTAATCGATGGACGAGAAACTTGTCAATGTCTCCCCGAATTCGGGGGCGAACCAGACGTCAAATGCGTCATCAAGTGTAACGCCCATACCGATTGTCCTTCAACAATGTCCTGTTTCGTGGACCGCCAGTGTCGCTCGCCTTGCATTCACTCTGCTCATGGCTGCGGAATTAATGCAGTTTGTCGCGTGGAGAATCATCGACCGGTCTGCGCATGCCCGAAAGACTGGTTGGGTGATGAAACTATTCAATGCTTCAACTCGGTACAAGGTAAGGAAACGAGGAAATATTATGCACAACGTGCTAAAAATATAACAAATTAAAAATGTGAGGAATACTTGCACAAGAAATTTTAAAAATAGTTTTTTTCTGGCAAGTTCTCAAACTTTGAAAAAAGCTTCCAAATTTATTGAAATTTTTGGAACGAAAAATATGCTATTCAACTATCAAAAAAGGACGATGAACTTTTCAAGATACTTCGAAAATTCGGATCCTTCAGTTTTTTATCTGCAGGATATTCGAGATTTTAATTTTTAACGTAAAAATATTGACCCAATTCTAGAAGTCCGTGATAACATTGTAAAATACAAACATTTGAATACAAAATTTTACAAATATTGGTAAAGAAAATTAGCTCCCAAATTGTTGCAAACTTGCTCAGATCAAGGCCTCTTTTTTATTTTGTAAAACTTTGCAAAAATTATTATGCAAAACTTAGAAAGTTACGAATTGCTGCGACAAATGCCTCTATATTGTCATCTTTTGTGTTAAATTACATATTTTATCTAAATTTCTAGGTTCCGAATCGGACCGTTCAAGACCCGAGCCATCCCCACAATCTCCCCAACGCCCTACTAAGACACCCCCGACTTCGTCCGGGATTAAATGCGGGTCCAACACGGACTGCCCCGACGACATGACATGCATCCGCGCCACCGCCTCCACTACGTCCGGCAAGACTTGTGTGAATCCCTGTCAAGCGAGAAGATGCGGGGTCAATGCGGAATGCAAGGTTACCGAGCGTCGATCCAGCTGCGAATGTCTGCCCGGATTCTTTGGCGATGCTCGCCTCCAATGTGACAAGATTGGCGAGAGGGAAAATAATCCATTTTCCGAACCACTGATCCAAGCTGACCAAGAATTCGATGAGAAGAAATATGCACGCGAAGAGTTCGAACGGTGGAGGGCAAACAGGTGCAAGAATCCGGAAAAGTGTGGTGCAAGTAAGCGGTTTATTTAGAAAAAAAACAATTATTCATAAATTTTAAGAATTCAGGGAAATTACTTTGATGATAATTTATGATTATCAAAATTGTCCAATTTCCCTAAATCAATCGGGGTATTCGTTACGAGTTCGCTTGTTATCATCGCAACATAATTTTTAAAACAAATTGTGAACTAAATACTACGCTAATTTTTTGCAAATTTGCGAACTTCGTTTTGTTTGGCTGCTCTCGATGCGAACTCGTAGTGAATGCCCCCATTACTTTAATGCCAATTTCGATCTTCACAAAATTTAATCAATTCAGACGATTGATTTCTAATTAATAATTTTCCTATTTATAGATTCCTCCTGCCGCCTCTCTCCCTCCGGCTCGGATCAATGCCTTTGCGCCCCCGGCTTCCAAGGTCAACCACCCAAATGCCGCGCTGAATGTAAAGACAACATCGACTGTCCCGCCGCACACGCCTGCGTAACCGACAAACGCGTCGGGTATCCCACCTGTACAAAAACTTGTGGTTCCCGCGTCTGCGGCGCGCATGCGGATTGTATCCAATTCGACGACGGCAATTACGAATGCTACTGCCCGCCCGGCCTCCATGGTGACCCGCTTGTCAAATGCGAATCCAAAGAAGCCCGCCTGGGTCGCGATTGTTCCACCGATTACGACTGCGGGATCAAGCTAAGATGCGAGATCGGTGCGGACGAGCGAAAATGTGTGGATCCCTGCGAATCTAAAAAGTGCCGAAACGAATTTGTTTGCGAGGCGGATAATCACGGGGCAAAATGCGTCTGCCCACCAGGCTATACGGGAAATGAGTACGTCGGATGTAACAAGGATGTCATCGTGGACACTGAGACTATACCTTGCGCAAACATTTCTTGCGGGGAAAACTCGGAATGCCGCACAATCGAGGGCAAATCAAGCTGTCAGTGTCAGTCAGGTTTTGTTGGGAAGCCTCCTGCCTGTATTGCTGAGTGTTTCTCCAACTTGGATTGTCCGACAGATTTGACTTGTATTTCGAAACGGTGTCGCCACCGGTGCGGTGGGTGCGGGAGGAATACGAGGTGTCGCGTGGCGCCTAATTTGGAGCGGAATTCGGTCTGTACATGCTTAGAAGGGTTTGAGGGAAATCCGTACGTTGAGTGTCATCCGTTTCAATAACAATTTTATCTTACGAGTTAAATTGATATATCTTGCAGAATAAAATTAAAAATATAAATCTGCGTTAAAAAGTAATAAGAATTTACTAATTCAGTGAAAATAATTTCGTAAATGCAAGAATTTCATAATAAACATTTTTTAATGTTCGTCTTTATTAATTTTGCAGTTTATGAAATATGCCTAAGGGTAAATATCATTGTTAAATATGTAACTTCATATTACCGACTGACACGCATATTTAAATAACATGCATGATTTTCAGTAGTAAACTAGTGCCGACATAGATTTAAATGATTACATATTTAAATTGGTATTACCCCATGTCGTTCTATAAGCTGTATACCCTACATAAGTTATAAACAATTACATATTAGCTAATTATAACGCTCAGAATACAAATTCCTAACAATTACACAAACACTTGAATATTTCAAATGAAATAACTACTTATAACAATCGCACACAACACATTCAATTTTTAAATTAAACTTAATAATATCTAGTCTGAATTGATAGTCTTCACACAAATTTTGACCACTTTGTGACGCCGTGAAGGTCTACACCGACATTTTTGCAAACTTGTAATCAACCCATTAAGAACGTGGATACACGCCCATAAGCTAAATTCCATAAAATACACAAAGCTACGCCTACATTCTACCAGAATACTGACAAACGAAACAGATAGAAAAATTCCACACAGCACGAACACTTCTTTTACAGACCCCATTGAAATGGAATTCGCCTCGTGAAACGTTATTTGCTCCCTCCCATTGGACATAACCACTGCGAAATGTTTCCTGTAATCTGTATGATTCTTTGCATAGTGTGCATAAAGAGGAACGTAGAGCTCTTCAAGTTTTCTCCATCTATCAACCATCCCATTGCTTAACAGTTGTCCTAGTCGTTTAAGAAATATGGGTAAAAGATAATTCCTTTTTAGCACCTCGACGAAAACCTTGTTAAATGGTGTATATTCCTTGCCATACAAAATTAAACGCTTCTCCGTAGACTGCAAAAGTTTGCCATTCATACGTACAATTTGATCACTATCCATAATTGCAAACGTTTTTTCAGGGTCAATCACCTTGTTTGGAGACACTCCAGACATTGCTTGCCGGCTGTTACGAAGTAATTTTGAAATTCCTGATTGTGACATGTATTCATCTACATCCTGATGAATAAAAATAAGTTTTTTTAGCAACTGTCGAAACATATTCATCATTTCTGGACTGTCCTTGAATAAATTTACATATTGTGGAACGAGATAGTCGTTAAGGATAGGTATTTTACGGATTGGGCGATCAGTCTCATCCAAATACCAGGAGTGTGTCATAATAGGAATCTCTGAATCCGCCAGATCAACCAGAGATGATGGTAGTCTTGGGGCTTTAACCGCGCTAAGAAATGAGAAGACAGATCCGGTATATAAATTATCCATGATTACGTAACAGCCACCCAGAAACCAGACGGTGAGGATGGGTACTGCGACACATGCCCGATTATTAAACATCCGTAAACTCTCTCCATTAACTTGTCGAAGTAGGATACAAGTCACATTAAACAAGTCCTGAGTCACGTCAGACATAAAGTTTTCTACTGTTTTAATCCTAGAAAGTCCAATGACGAACGTAATTGTAACGCAAGAAAGGAGTAAAACGACCCAAACCATGTCGTCAAACGGGGATAAAAACACATTCATTCCATCCAGCGCCTTCGGAAAGGGTGTAACATACCCAGTACCCGCAAAAGAACTGTTATAAGAAAAACTCATTGTAGCGAACCCAGTTTATCGAATTTCGAAAAAATAAGTCCAGAACTGAAAAGCCAATGAAATTTTGTGTAGGAAACATTATTCACTTTTCAAAATGTCAATCTCATAAGGCGACACGGGCCTAGAATCTTGGTATCCACCACGCGATCAGAGTACGCACGCGTTCCAGCGGGGATTGGCCTCATTTCTATACCGTTGAATTTTTGATGGATTCCAAACTTATATGGGGTTTAACACATACATCCAGCTAAAGTTTGAAAAATATGCCATACTCCAGCAGGTTGAGGTTCGGTGACAATCAATTTTTTGCTTGATCCGAAATGGAGTCAGGAATTTTGGATTTCAACCACCCAATTACCATCTTGGCCTCATGAACAGGACCTTAGCCCTGTTTGAATGTCACGGTGATATTTTTGAATAGGAAGTGGTTTAGTGGTTCCACAATTCGCTCGAGAACTTGAACAAATAATTTTTGGCACGAAATTTCACCCCCAGAGAAAAATAAGTCACTTTTTCGGCGCAATTCAACTTATGCCCAATCAAAAAATCGTAAAATCAATAAGGTGGGTAAGGTGAACATTTTTGAAATTTTTACGAATAGTCTAGACCGGTGGGGTGTAGAAACGGTATTTTTTCTACTTTATTTGGCTTCAACCACAAAGCTTGGATCATCTGTTGAAAATATTAGTTTCCATTTTCCAAAGCGCGTACCGCATTATCAGCGTCAGGGTTCTAATGGGTCTATTTTTACTTGGCGAGTGGTTAGGAAGTGTTTCTCTCCATGACTTGAAGACATATGTCCAAGGTTTAGTTTAAGGGCACGGGACTTACTTTTACTTCATGCGTTCATTTTTGAGGGAAATTTTCTTAGGGCTCGGCATGGATTCGGACGAATCCATTTTTTCGTGACTTGGTGAATTTTGGTGACCTTTCTGACCTTCTCCTTCCACTTCTATTTCGGTCCTCGACACTGCCAGTGTCAGGGGATCATTTTATGGTACGGTCGACCATCTTTCGGTCAGTTCCAATTTTTGTTTAACAATTGAAAAATGACGATTTTTGTTGTTTACAAAAATCTTGTTGAAAAATTGCAACACATTGTTTCTCCTGGTCTGTCACTTTGGAACCTTGGGCGACAAAAAACTTGGAGGCATGGTTTCTGATAGACAAAAGCATGGAGATTTCAATAAAAAATAGTACAAATCTCTAAAAGATTGTTTTGCCTGCTTAATTTACCCGGGAAATCTTATAACAGAACTTTAGCGGGTACTAGGTATAAAAATCGGATAAACTCATATCTATGCTGATATGTTACTATCTCTCTTTCATGGGAAAGATTGACAAATCGGGTCCCAAAATTTGCATTCAGTCCGAAAAAATATATTGGCATGTCCTCACGATTATCTTCGGTTGGGAGGAAGGTAAAGTTGAAAGCTTCCGAAAGCGATTTAACTGCACAGCGTTGAAAGGATTTGGCTATTTTAAAATTCACTCTGTTGGTATGGCATTGATAATGTTGTGACGGGTAGATGTCATACATGAGGACGAGTCTTTGGTGTAGATTTTTATTCGAGTTGATCCACTTTGAACTAAGTTCTGAAAGGGAATGTATTTTGGTAATTTTCTCGGGTGGCGAACTGCACACAATGCAAGGAATATATAATTGATTGGGGTGTCGAAATTGGAATAAAATTAGGACAGCGGTTCCTTTACCTAGGAAATAATTTTTGTAATAGAATTTTTTATTATCGCTGGGTTTGTACCCGTGTTGGAAAATATATGCAGGATTGAGCAGAAGTAAGACGGCGTTCTGCTTATCGATGTACATTGATAACCCATGACTTCCTGTTTCTCTGCCTATTTCTGAGTTGTGTAAAAATGCTACCGATATTTGACTCGATCCTGCAAATGGACCAAGGCTTGAATTGTCCTTGCCGATTATATATAACGGGTATGTTTCGTTCGAAGTAAATTGATTTAGGACAAATGGCGTGGAAGGATTTGACCTGCGTAATTCGTGGAAATAAGGTGGAAATAATTCAAACTGACGCCCATTTCGGTGATGTGTTATTAAAATGATGTTGCAATTTTGAAATAGGTCGAATGTATTCCAAAGGGAACTTGAATGATGAGGTGTTAAGGTGAGGACCAGGACGATCCGTATTATGGTGTCCATCATGTGTACAAGAGAAGCTTAAATTTTATATTAATTTGATATATGTACAGGTGATCAAAATGGGCTAAACCCTTTTCGCACCCGTTAAGTAAAATAAATATGCTGTTGTGAACATTATCCTTGAGTACTCGTGTCTTGTATGGACGTTTTTTAGCTAAGCCGTAGACCCTTTCGATATGAATAGTTACATATGCCACGACTGTAGTTCCAAGGGCAACGAAGACAGTGGTTCATTACCTCATGGGCCAAGTTTTCGATTAATATGCAGATGAGCCAATGAGATTTGGTCATATATAAGGAAATATGTATATATATTTATGTTAATTCACATGTCTGTTTACTGCCACAAATTAGTATTGTTTGCCGACATATCCACGTATTTTTGGTTCGTGTCTCTCCAAAATTCCATATTCGTCGATAAACCATTATCTTTTGATTGCATGTATCTACTTTGTGGGGTGACCAGACTACTCATCAATAAAGATAGCCAGGCCAGCGGCGGTAGCACATTGACTATATCTTTTGATTGGACGTATCTAACAGCGTGGACAGATATTGATGAGGTCAACAGAATTACTAGTACATATGAGATAGAAATATACCCCGCCAATGGAGGGTATATCTAATTTACAAAGAGTAAATTTAAAAGTAAATTTCTTTTGCTATTTGCCTACAGTTGGATAATCTTATATTATTTTAATCTTTGTATAAGATATATGTATCTTGTATATAATCTTAAGTCTTTGTATAAGAACGGATTCAAAAATTTGGAACCGAATTACTTAAGTAAGTACCTAACTATGTATATATGCCAAAATTTCATATATGTGTATTTGCCAATTACACCCCCTTACTCCAGGTCCCAGGATCACGCCATCTAAAATTTGCGAGGGGTCTTAAATTTGAGATGGTTTTGAGACTTGCTAAGTTGATCATTAAATTCCGCACAGTTGCACATTAAGCACATTAATTCTTAATTCTGCAAATTAAGCAGTTAACGATTTTGTTCGTAAAACCATTTCGAGTTTAATATTTCATTTAATTGCATAAAACATTTGATAATATTTAACAGACGAGATCTAGTAAATGGCGTCATTTTTAGCATCGTTACTTACAAAATCAGTCAAACACATTTGGGATGCATACTTTTTCATACATATGTTTTTATTCATGCAACTGGGGGCCTTACAAGTATTATTTCGTATAAA